CCATAACCTCTTTGGGCAATCTGTGTCAGTTACCATCACAGTAAAAGTTTCTTGGTGTTCAGACAAAGATTCCTATGCTCCAGTTTGAGCCCATTGCCTCTGATCCTGAGTATCTCGGAGAACAGTCTGCCTTCATTTAGTTTGGACCTTCCCATCAGGTATTTATATACATTAACAAGATCCCCCTGAGTCTGCTGTTCTTTCTTCAGGCTGAACAGTTTTTCTGCTTTTCCCTTCATGAAGGATGCTCCAGGCTTTTAATAATCTTTGTGGCCCTGAGTGGACTCATTGCAATAAGTACACATCTTTCACACGCTAGGTAGCGCAGCTCGTTGTAAAGTCATGCTGACTGTTCCTGTCTTGTCGCAAAACAGTTTCCAGATAGATTTGGTCCATCACCTTCCTCAGGAGTGAGCTGAGCTGAGGATGACCACTTCAGGTTGCTGGATGCTCTTTCTCACAGGAGCAAGTGACACTTGCTCTCTTCCAGCCCTTAGGGGCTCACCCAGCAGCTTTGACTTTTCAGAGATGATGGGGAATGTTCTCAGAGTGACATCAGCCAGGTCAGCACTCCTGAGTGTGCTCCATTAGGTTCTGAAGCCTTGCATATGCCCAGTTGGCTCAAATGTTCCCTAACCTGATTCTCCACCAAAAGCATACCTTCTGTACTCTAGACTTTCCAGCTTGCCTCAGGGGCCTGGAATAACTGAAAGTCAGTTTTACCAGTAAAAACTAAGATGAAAAAGGGTCTGAACCCCTCAGCTTTGCTGTGTCCATTGTCACCAGGTCTCATCCTTAATCTGACCATGGGAGAGCATGGAGAGGATTAGATATGTGCAGTAATATAAAGGAATTGGTTGTGTGCTGATGTGAAACCTGAACAACCCTTTTATACCCATATGGAGTCTCTCTCAATAATTTCTCCATTGGTGGTGCCCTGGTTCTAGGGGAGGTAAATTATGGATGCTATGCATCCCTTTTTCCTCCTTCTCCTTGTTCTTCCCTTTTCTCAACTCATCCTTAAACTGTTTTCCACAGTATGCTGCCTACAAAATAGCTAAGAGGAAAATTCTTCTGAGTAACCTGTGGACACATCTATTTGTGCAAGATTTCAGCTGCTTTGAAGGATTGTTTCCTGTTATTAAGGTGTAAAACAGCTCTTGTGGGAAAACTAGAATTTTGCACATGTAATTAGGAAGGTATGATAGTTTATTTCTGGTGATGCACAGCCAAGAGCTGGGAAATTTTGGCACTTACTGAAACAAACAGCTTTTGAATATCTGAAATTGCTCCTGAATATATTTTGATTACAGTGTGAACATGGCAATAAAGGAGTCCCTTGAGAGAGAAAATATATGGATTCAAATATTAATTTTTTTTCTGGGAACTGGTTATCTCCCAAGACAGAACTGTTATGTTTCTCATTGATAAACCTTTTAATTGGCTTGAGGAAAGAACCAGAGTCTTAAAACAGGTTGCTGAGTCCTATTTTAGGCAGAAACAATAGTTGTTCCCACACTGGTCAGTGACAAACTCCATTTTAGCCTCCAACATGATTTTGACCCCAGACCCTTTCCATTTTTGCCATGCCATTGATTCCTGCTCTTGACTCTGCAGGCATCCCGGTATACACTGTGATTCCAGATGTTGGCACTGCCCATCAGGTGAAATATCCCTAATATCAATATCAGGTCTGCAAACAGAGGGACAGGAGCTTCTTTATTGCACTGGTTTATGGAGTTCAAGAGGAGCTAGACCTACAACCAGAACTCTTTTCTTCTTCTTTTTAATGGAATTATGAAACTTTGTTCTGCTTTTCTGGATAGAAACAGGAGTTTTTCTCTGAATTTTTTGCCTTGTGACAAATGACTGAGTTTGTGGATATAGTCAATACTTGCAATACTCTTGCTAATTCTACCAGCTGTATCACAAGTGTTTTGGTAACTGCATTTTTTTTTTGTTGTTGTTGCTCAAGCCCATGTTTAGGGCCAAGATATTTAATATTTTATTAAAAAATAAACACACTGTTACTGACAAAAAGCTGTAAATGGGAAGCCAGATGCCCTTGAAGTCTCAGTACTGTTCCCCAGACTGCACACTCTCTATTTTTTCCTTTCATAAATTTTAGAACATTCTGATAATTTTTGAGTCTCTGGCACTGACAAGGCTGGAATTACATTAGTCTTTTAGAGCTTTAGGGATTTTATGAATGTTCACAAACTGCAACACAGTTCCCCCATCCATAATGTGAGTGCAGTTTATAAAAGAAAAAAAAATCCATTAACATTAATGAGGCAGTTAAATTTAAAAAATAAAGCCTCACTATGAGAAAATCTCTAAAAATTATATAGGAGGTTTTTAATGCTACTAGTCACTCAGCCACTGTTTATGGAATTTCAGTGTTCTTTTGTAAAGCTAGAATCAGAGCACTACAGAAAAGATGTACTTTGACCTCTGTTCCCTCGAAGTTGTCTTCATAGGGAAAAAGAAACAAACAAAAAAAACCCCAAAAAACCCCACACACAAAAATCCCAAACAAAACGAAAGGAAAGGGTTTGATCTCTAATTATCTTCAGCAGTTTCTCTATTCACAAAAGTGAATGTTTTATCCAATATATTGCTCACCGGCTTCATTCATCAAAGACAAATCTGCCTTTCGCTTCTTGAATATTTGTGGGAAATATTAAGCCAAGATAATATAAAAATTAGAGAACACAGACATGCCACCACTTTGTACAGAATAATACAAAGTATATCCTCTGATACAGTCAGCAATTAAATGGCTTCAGCTGGTCTGCAAACTTACAGCACTCTGAGTCTCAGGATCACTTGTTTACCTATATCCATCCATGTAAGTAGCAGAGTGAAGCTTACAAAGTTCATCCAGGTTACTAACAGACAAAGTCAATCACACAGGAAAACTATGAAAGGGTTAGGGCAGAGTTCAGAGATAACTGAAATAATTTTGCCTTTGAGAAACAAGGCAGGCATATCTAATAATAAAAATAGGATAGCCTAGCAAAATGAAATATGTATAGGTATGTGTGTGCAGTCTCATGCTAATAATTAGTCTTGCAAAGGGTAAGCACAGTTCTTTGGTACTTTGAAAAAATTACTAACAATCTCAGAAAGAGGTTGCTGTCAAATAGAATAGAACTAACAGTGATTGAGGTCTGTAGCAGTAATTGATACAAACATTGACATTAATGCTGAGATACTTGCATGAAACAATTCAGCACTTCATAAACCTCTTTCCATGCAAAAACTGACCTTTTACATTAATGACAGAGTTGCTTGTCTCTTGCCTGGGAACTCGGCATGGCCAGTGCTTCTTTCTACCCAACTGTTGGAATGAATGCCTTTTAATAATTTTTCTGTCTTTTTTAGGACAGTTGTAGCTCATAATGATAAAACAATAACAAAATGGAATACCATTACATTTTTAATCAATAAAATGTCTTTTCCTGAGTCTTGTCTGAATAGTTTGTGCTAGAAATTTGCTGAGATCACTGCAAATCAGTATAATAAAATGATGTTGACCAGTTCCTTTGTACAAAATGAAGTAATAAAGAGCTTTTCTGTTAAATTTATATTTTTATTGAGAGATGCCATACTAAAGACCACACACATTACCATTATATATGAGAAAAAGCATAGCTGTTTCAACAGACAAAAGTTAAAGTGCAGTTGATTCATTGGCTCCTTTAAAAGGACTGGCATCTGGAGCACATGCACTTCAAAGTCAAATGCTGTACTGAGATGTGCTGCTTTGAAGTACAGCTGCTGATCCAGACAAATTTTGGAGCCTAAACCAGCATATGAATCTGCTGTACTCTGAAAAAAAATCTATTTCAGATGCCAGTTTTAACTCAGTTTAGAAAATTGCTGTCTGGATCGGCTGAACTTCAAAGCCGAACATTGCAGTGTTGCGTTTCCCTTTGAAGTGCAGCAAATCCAGATAGTGGATTTTCTCTCCCTCCTATTTTTTTAAGTAGTTAAAATTGGCATCTGACCTTACTAGTATTTCTCGTTACCATCTGCACATTCTTCTTCCCTTCTCCCTTATTTCCTCATCTTTTGACCTCTGAAAAATACAGCAAGATTCACTAGCTTGTTAGTCCCTGCACTACCAAATCACTATAAAGGGGGTGGTTGTGGGGACAGCCTATATCGAGTTACGTGATGGACAGCAGCCAATTACTGCACATGGCTTGTCATGAAGTTTGTTAAATAATACTTAATTTCACCATCCAAGAAAAATAAAGCTCAAAGCAAATCCCTCATAAATGTTTGCATTCAAAGCATTTGTAACGACAGTCTCATGATTCTGCTAACCCATATAAACAGCCATTAGCACTGGTTTAAAAAGTAGCTGAGCTTGATAGCATTTCAATTTTCAGAAATTTTCGGTTATTTTGTCACAGAAAGGTCTCCTTCACAGTCAAGTCAGGAAAGATTTAAGGAAATTATTTTACTAGAGAAAGAACGAGATTACTACAAGCAGAATTTGCAGAGCTTCTGGCAAGAGGAACCAAGGGTAAATGCGGTGCCCTCACCAGGACACACTCTCATATTATACACACATCAGGGATACTGCTGTTTGCTACTGAATTAAAAGACAAACCATGAAGAACTGTTGCACCCTGTTCAAAAGACAAAAACAAAGAAAAAAAAACCCATCCAAATACATGCTAGTACAAGAGGACAATTTAATGACAGCATCTCTCATTTGCTGAGAAATAACTCTGGAGAGAAAAAGAACTGGAAAATGACCAGCATTTTATTTACACAGATCATGAGACATGTCACTCGGGTGATCTGTTCTTGTCAGGCAGTCTTTAATTAGAAAATTCCTAGAGAGAACTCATGCTCCTACTAAGTGCTTATTAAAAACTAAAGACAAAAGGAGTCAGTAGAAAAGCCCAAAGAATGGACAGAGAACTCAGGTTACACTGAAAGGCAAGAGTCACCTACTGCTAGCATAGAGAGAGACACTCGGGATGGGATGCTGGATTTTCAATGAAAAACTCTCAGTGCTGTTATTAGTGAGTATTTTTAGCACTAAAAATTCTAATTGGATATATATAAATATTTTAAGCTTGTTTAAAAGACATTTTATGGTTTGCTTACAGTAATACTCCCAAGCTTAATGTAAAACTTGCTATAAAATATTCAGCAGCCTTTTTATAACTAGTCTTAAAAACAATTTAAAGTCTTGGTGTTTTAATTTTAATTATTTTTAAGTCAATGTACTTTAATCCTCAGATAAAGCAGGGGTTTACAATTGGAATTGAAATTATATTCTGATATATTTTCAGATAGATTGGTGAATTGTATATGGGAAGCAGAGAAAGGAATTTCCTTAGCTCTTAATTCCCACCATTTCTGTGATTTTTTAATTTTAGTGTTTATTTCCTTTTAAGAAACCAGGTTAAGGCCTGTGATTAAAAGCAAGTTTACTATGACACAGTAAAAATCATTTATATCATTTACTCAAGATCTGAGGGGTAGGACTGTAACCCTGAATTTTCTAAAATACAGCCTCATTCCAGCAGGCATTTTTGATTTCTATCATCTGTGATCAAGAACTGCATTGCATACTGATTTTGAAACATCTCTCAGATTCTCTCAAAACTATAACCATAGCCAGTTTTATATGTATTTAAAAATACTGTAAATGTCACTAATCTTTAGTCTCTCTGCTTTGTAGCTGGTGTGGCTGGGACTGAACTTCTATTTGTTTATTGATACCTTCCACTGGTATGAAGATGACAACGCTTACATTTATACACGGATTATGCTGGGAGTAAGTACGAGTTTGATGGTTAAAGGGCTTCACAAGAAGAATGTATGCATAGTCTAATTTTATTTACATCCTTCATAAAACTTTTGATACTTCAAAAGTAATTTTCCCATATAAAAATGTTATATTTGTATAGTATCTTCTTTATTTTGCTCTTCTTATACCAAGCTTGTAATTTAATTTCTTTATGCTGTTATATGTACAGTCAACCCTGGCTTGGGCAAGAGCTTCTGCAACGTGCCTTAATTTTAACTGCATGCTAATCCTGTTACCAGTTTGTAGAAACCTTATTTCATTCTTAAGAGGAGCAAGCATTGTAAGTACCATTTCTCAAATAGCCATATTATTCTCTCTTTTTTATTTCTGTTGTTCAGCAGTATTATCCATATCAAACATTTTCCAAGGAATTTTAATTTTTGATAGAGAAGCCTGTACACTATTGCCTAGTTATTACCATTTAAATTGTCAGTATGACTGAAGAGAAACAAATGACTTGTTTAACACAGTGCTCTAAATGCAACACTGATTTTGGCAGCTGCTGCATAGCATGGTGTCATGAACAGAAAAGTGAGAAGCCACAAAAAAGGGACATAATAATGCCACTTGGCCAAATGGGGAAAATTCATATCCATCTTACGCATTCTCTGTAGCTGCAAAGTGAAAATCAGAGAAATAAAATGTTCAGATAGATAAAAATGTTCTAAGGATAACAATAAATGTGCTTAAACTCTTCTGTCTGAGTGGCCACCATTCAGGTCTTCATTTGAGGTAAATGCATTTTTGTAACAGGCATTCACACTAACCTTGGAATGACGCATAGGAAGTACTTAAGGCTTTAGCTCTATTAGCTATAACTTCAACTTGCATTGAATTATTAGAGTCAGAGGAATCCCAATGCCACATGTTTGGGTAAAAAATCACTGATCACTTCATGACTCCGGGAACAACAGGAATTTAAAAATGGTAAGATACAGATATTTGATAGTAAGATAGTTCTTATTTCAGTTCTGCCATTTTTTGTTTCTGTGATTTTTAGGCTTAGATGTTGAGCAGTCTCCAGGCTGGGAATCAACACTTATACAATTGCTTGAGTTCAGGAGTTGAACATTTACAAAAAAAAGGAGAAAAGGTGTCCTGGCCTTCTGAACCAGTTTGTGAATCAGCACAGGATATATGCATGCCCACTTAGATGCTGAATAAAAGCTCAGAGAACTGGAACTCTTCTCACAGATAATATTTGGCTATTCTGGACAATATTCTGCTCTTGAGGAGCATGGTACAGAGCAACTTGACTGCTCCAGCATGGCCAGCACCAGGCTGGATCCAGTGCCTCTCCAAGGAGGTGTGGTCCTTTGACATCACACACTGTGGTGCTCCAGATTTTTTGAATACTTTAGATGGGAAACATTGTGGATACACGCCAGGATCGTTGGCATGGTGCCATGCCAGGTCGTGTGAGCAATCCAGACGCCCACACCATCTGGGTTCCAGCAGAGCGTGTTACTTTTGGCTCAGTGCAGCCAGCCCCTGGCCCCAGGCTGGCTCCGCACTGGGGTACGCAGCTGGCTGTGAGCACACCACTGCTGAGCCCTTCCAATAATGGGAGCACGGCTCAGTAACACATCAGCATGCAGCCACCTGAGGTCTAGACAGCCTCACCCTCCTGGGTGTGCATTTCCTGAAAGCAGAGAAAATGTTTTCATTGCAAGCTGGCTTTGCCAGCACTTCAGCTCTGTTGTGCTAAGCTCACAAAGTGGTGGTGGCCCAGCCCGGTGTCCTTATACCTGCAAATGGGTTATTGTCAGCTCAGATAAACCACTCACAAATCATAGCTAAGTGTAGCACAGCTTTTTCAAACCCCTTTTTGAGCCCCTATATAGGATGAATAGCTTGAGAAACCCTGGAATGCCACTCAGGAAAGTTACTTGAGTCCTAAAACTAACCCTAAACTTCCACTGGATTCCTTCAGCATTCCATTTTCAAATGTACTGAACTCTTCTCCTCTCCAAAATGTGAGATGTAAACATCAATAGGAATGATATAAAACAAGTTCTGCTTTTTCACCAAGCACTGTGGAGGAGCATTGAGGAGACAGCTTGACAAAAACATCACATTTCACAAGATGGTTGCCTATGGAATAGCGTTAAATGCAAGTAAGATTTTTTTTGGTTTTTTTTCTTCTTTGCCTTTGAACTGCTTTGAATTTCATAGTGATTCTGCCTAATGCTGTAATCCCCATCAGCTCTGAGATGTGATATTTTAGTGCAATCATTTGTTGACTGCAGCTTTAAATGTGTGTAGGAGTCCCATCTGATTAACCATTTATAATGTTTTTTGCTTGAGAAGAGTTTGACTATTAAGGAAATAAACTTTCAATCTGAATAGTAAACACCAGTTGCCACTTAGTTAATCTGAACAAATTGTATGCCCTTAAAATTTAGTGTAAATAACTTTCATTGAGTCCCTGAGGGTAGATGTTTGGGGAGATGACATAGCATTACTGTCCGATTCTGTAAGGAAATGATACTTATAAGCCACACCAAAAATCTGCCCACCAATACATCTTCACTAAATTTTCAACCAGGTAATAAATTTAATCTGAATTTGAGAGAGGCAGGTGTCTCAAAAACAATGGATTTCTAGATATTTATTTTTAGTAGGTGACTGATCCAGTAAACTAATGGCCTCTTTGAGGGGAAAACAACAACCTGAGATCAAAATTTATCTATTTTGTTGCTCCTAGTGACTTGCTGAAGTGCTTGTTCACCTGGCTGGGAAAAAGACATGGCACCTTCATGTTCTCTAAGTAGTAAAAGGACCTGGAGAAATCTGTAGGAATTCAGAGAACATGAGGGGAACAGGAGATAGCTTGAGGAAAAAGGATGTACAACAAAAGCCAGTGTGAAGGACATGAGCACACAGAGATGGAGAGATATCTGTGGTAGATATAGATAGATAGATAGATAGATAGATAGATAGATAGATAGATAGATAGATAGATAGATAGATAGATAGATAGTTCTTTTAAAAAATGGGAAGGAGACAGAGGAATTAATCAGGGCTGTTTCCAAGCATGAGACGTTGCAGGGTAACTGTTCCACCCCCAGACTGTCAGGGTGGATTCTGGTCCCAATATCTTTTTCAGCCTGAGTCAGGGAGCTGCTTTTGCGTGTCTAGGCTGTTAATGACCTCATGCCGTGAGACAAGAATGTGAAGTCAACAGGAACCAATAGCTAAAGTTTGTCTTCTGTATGTCATGCTAAAGAATTCCAAGGGGAAGGCTACGGGATATGTACATTCATCTTGCAGTGTATTCTGATGAATTACTTTTCTGTCATGTCCACTCATTCATCAGAGTTCAGTTTCACTACAGAAGAGATTCCTAGAGAGTGCAACATTGCTTCTTTAATTAATAAATCAACCCAGGAATATAAATTAACCAACTTTTCTTGGTGTATCATAGGTCATGTTCCCAAGAGAAAGAAAAACTTCACAGTCAAACCTTTTATATTTAAGGTTTTTACATTAATATTAAAATTCTTGCTAGTGCATTAATGTGGACAGTTTGGGAAGTGCAAGTATATCAGAAAAGTGATTACTTTAATGGTTTCACTAATTTCAAGATAAAGACACAGAACCCAATGTGAAATGACAGAAAGCGTGATCATATAATTCTCATTTAAATCACTCTACAGGGAGAAATCAAAGGTTCATTTTTGGGTTGTTATTTAGGTTGTTTTTTGTTTTTTTGTTTTTTCTAAAATATAAAATGCAATAATAGTTGATGAGATTTTGAGAAAGAAAACAGAACACAAGGAAGTCTAATAAACAATGCAAGACAACATATGAATTCCTGCTTCCCTAACAGTCAAGTGGGAAACATTTATCATATTTGGAAAAAAACTACATCGCTGAATAGTGTTAGACTTGAGTAAAGAATGGCCAGAAACTCAATTTCCTGAAATTCAATTTTAAGTTCATAGAAAAATAAAGTCTACAGAACACATTGAGACAGAAAAGCAGCATTTCAGAGTGGTACCCACAAGTACACTGAATCCTTTTCAATAAAATCTAACAGTGTTAAAATGATGTGTAAATAGATGCCATTTTCCTCTCAACTGACACATTATTTATCCTAGTACTAGCTATATTGCCTTTTATTACACAAAAACATAGTCAACTCCTATTAGTCTATTGCAATTTAGTAATTCTCAGTTAAACTGGTGTTCAACCCTGTATGATCAATAGACTAAATGTGGTAGCAAGAAGTTAAACCAATTTGAAGATCAGATCAGTAAGCTTAGCCTCACAATATAAAATTGTAAACTCCTTTATTATTAAAGCAACATGTATTCATCTTGGCTTGCCAGGTGGTGTTATTCCAGCATATTTATTTAATAGTGTGCTAAAAATAGTCAGTGTAACATTGGTATTTTCTGGCTTCTTACAGGCAGCTAGCTCAGCTGAGGTGTGCCTGGCCTTGGAAAGAGTACATCTGTACCTTTAATTTTTCATCATCTCTAATACAAATTCAAGAGCAGGCTTTAATTGGTCAGGTTGTAAAGGAATATAGTTAGAGACTAGTGGAAGAGGGAAGCTGGAGGAAAGAGAGAGAGTAAACACTGCTATCTATAATCAAAGGCATCATTGAAAATTCAGTAAAGGGAATTCTGCTTAGTTTGGCTTCCTGCATTCTGCATGCCTGTCTGTGATAAGAGCTGTCTGGAAGTTATTCAGCCACTAATAAATCTTCCTTATAGACCTGTAACTCTGCTAGAAGAAAATCAGAGTTTCATGCATTCTCAGTTTGATCAATGCAAATAATTCTGTGCTTTGTACTGGAAAGAGACTTTTCAGTTGAAACACAGTGGCCTGAAACTTAAAGACTCCACAAGAGATAGTAATAATATTTTCTACAACACCTACTTCTTACTGTACTGTTTTTACCCTCTCAAAAAAGCATAATCATACATTTTCTGAAGTGGGGAGTGTTGGGGGCATTTTCCTTTCTTTACTTTGATATGTTTGGCTTATCCTTAAGAATAAATTACTTGCATTTCTTTGGTGTTTTTAGAAAGGTCACATGGATATTTTGCTCCATCAATCTTGCAATTATGATATTAATAAAGTTTAAGCAATTAATGGAAAACAGGGGAAGGACGGCAAGGTTGTTTGGAGTTAGGCTGTTTGAAATGGTGATTCCTGCTCCTTAAAAATTCCAGCAATGTGTTCTTCTTTAAAAACATGCAAAGTGCAGAAAGAAGCATAGTGATGCCAGGCATGCTTGGCTTCTGACACTGAAAAATCTATAGCTAAAATTACTAGGAAACCTCTCAATTTTCAACAACTTTTTGGTAAACTATGTGAATGGCTTTGGTGACCTAGACCACATTTTTGTGTCAATTATTAACTTTTCAAGGGAGCAGATGCCTATCTTTAAAAGAGGTCTAGCTGATACCTCAGTATTGTACTTCCAGAATCTACAGAAATTCAAACTTCTCTTAAATTTTTTTTTGTTTTTTGGTCAGATTGCTTAAATCCAGACTTAGTGCAAGTACAAGGAAAGAAACAATATTAAATTGAAGATTGTAGGCTTCCAGCTGAGTTAGAAAATGGTCCAAGTCATGTTCTTCTTTGATGTTTATAACCATTCTTAAAAACAAAATAAAATGCAAGCACATTTTTGGTCACTATTTAAATTTTTATACAGTCCACAAAGATATCATGAAGTTGAATTGGGGGTTTTGAATAACTAGGAATGGCACAAGACAATGGGTGGCAAAAAGAACCCCAGCCTTGGTCAGGAGCAGAATTCACCACACCTGGGTTATCTGCCTGTAAAGTTGTTCTCTTTGCTGTGGGCAGAAAGGCCAGGATTTGACTCTTTGACTTCATCATGATAGGCTGGTTAATCAAAATATTTAACTGCTAGCAGCAAGCTCCAATTTGATTATTATCCTGTACAGGCATGCAGAAAAAGATAGAGTTAAATCTTGTCCTCAGATAAACACATGAAATTTCTGTTTAGTTCAATGAAAGTTGTGCATGCTTCACTGAAGGCACAATTGGCTGAATAAGAGTAGCTAAATTGACCATACTTTCAAGATAATTTAATTACATCTCTTTGTATTTAAGGATATGTACAGTAAACACCATGATCTAATAGCAACCCTTTTCCTCCCTCTCTCCTTCCAATAAAGCCTTTTATTTGATCTCAGAGGTGGACTAGGTAGAACATCTCAGGGTCAAATACAAATTAATGTATGTTAAGTGCTTCAGAGGTTCCAGATGTCATTAAATCCTTCATTCTTCATAAACTGTTATAAAAAAAGAGCTTTGTTTAAAAGATTGGGTGATTTATTCCATATGTTATATTTGGACATGCAGAATGAGGAAAAAATTGAAGCGAAAATTCTGAGATGTAGTCCCTTAAACTTTGCCCTCGTGGTTAACTCAGATAAGTGGTGCAGAGGAAAGAACTACCAACTGTGGTAAGCTCAGATTTCAGAAATCTGCATATGTAATTTTGGAATTGCTTAGTAAATTCTATACACTGCAGATGCAAAGACCTTCAGAAAATGCACTTTAGGGATGTAAAATATTTTAGTTAATGGCAATGTGTTCGGTGCCAGAATTTTTATTCTGCTACAACTATTATACATTAAATGAACCACACTGAAAATGGAATTATATCTCTTACCATCCAGCTATAATTCATTTTTAGATTGCATCATTTTTTGCTAGCAGCACAAAAAAAAACCCATCAAAAGTATTAATCTAATAACACTCCAGGCAATATCTAAAATCATGGGAGACTCAGGTAAACCAACATATTCAGTACATCATTAGTTTGATTGTGGTATTTTTCAATGTATCATTATTCTCTGTACATTAACATCTCCCACAGAATTGTTTACTGAAAATAAAAACAACAACAAACAACAACAACTATCTCCCTGTTAATTCTGGAATATATTGTAATATACTCTACCCATCAGATGAAAGCTGGAGAGAATGCCACCCAGAAGGGAAGGTGTGGTGGATCCCAAAGTATCTGTTATGATATTTCCATTGACAGAAACACAGGGAAACAGAACAATGTGCAGATGGAAAAGAAAGTGTCCTCTGATAGCCTGCAGAAAAACCATTCTAGGCTAGGTTGCCAGAATTGGATCTCTTCTTCCAGGGGAAAGTTGCAACATGAGAACTCCTCATCAACTATAGTTTCAAGACCTCCTTGAGAAAGTATATCCATTCAACCAATTTTTCTTCTGTCGAAGAGTAAAAATGCTCTGTTAGGAAATGTGGAACTCTGTCTGGAAAAAAATATCACCTCCTTTCACTCTCAACACTCAGCATTTACCAGATAGCATTAGATCTCCTGTCACTGCTGACATGACTAGAACTTGTGCAAATCATGTAGAAATCCTGCACTTTGGGGAAAGTTCAAGATTTTGAAGCTTTCTAAACAACAGAAATGTCATCATTTCATGTGAATATTTTATAGTCTGCAGTATCACTTTAAAAAAAATCTATTGTTTTGAAGGTGAAAGAAGGAAGTGCCTTTTGCTATGAACACAGATTCAAACTTCCACAATTAGTCAGTGTCACAATTCTAAATGAGCAAAGATAATCCAAAACCTGCAGCTGACAGACTGCAAGCAAGCTCTGGTAAAACAGTACTGTGGATCCTAGCTGTGTGAAACTCTCCTGGTCCCTAGGCTATGGGGACTATTACATCATACCAGAGTTATAAAGAGCATCCTGTAGGTATAGAGGGCAAGAGGCCCAAGTTACCGTAATCATTCATAGATGCCAAAATAAAACTACTTAGTAGAAGTCCACTTAGAGACTCATTGTCAGGGTTTTCCATCCTTTGAAAGTTTTCTTTCCTCTTTCCCTTAGCTCATACCAGCCAATGTGCAGCATGTAACTCCACAACTTACCAAAGATAGAAATCTTTTACCCCACACTCCTGTCCTACAAGTGAGCTCTTTCAGATGTCAAAGAAATCAGGTCCTCATCAAGCAGCGACTTGGTTCCCTTCCAGCTGGATCAGATTCTTACCAGGCCAATACATCTGTTCTGAAAGAAGCCCCTTGTAGGAACAGTTCCCCCCTTCCCACTCAGCACTTAAATGTGCTGTTACACTTAAATATATAAACAGTGTTTGTGTACTGTTTATGCATCAGTTGTACACTGGGGAACAGATTGCCACAGCCCCCACACAGCTGCCACCTAAACCATCCAGCTCAGAGCTTGGGCTCTTGGGTTTTGGCAGTCTAAATCCACACATCTCATTTGCTGCTTGTGGTCCAATGTCACCTTCATTCCAGTGCTCCCAAAACTGCTGGAGTGCTGGGAGCACACTCTCATGCACAGGCTTCAGGAAGCATCCTTCACCTGATGCTGTCAAGGCTGCTTCACATGCAGCACCTTACCCATAACAACACGTGCAGGACATGCCAGGCCACTGAGTCCAGTACCCTCTGCTGCTCACAGTCATGTCATGTGCACCGTTTCATAAAATGACCAACCTTCAGCTGAAAGCTGCTTAGCTTGCTTGATCCCATTATCCTATTTATCAAAAGGTTATTTTAGAGTCTCATTCTTTTGATGGCTTGAATCTATCTTCTAATTTCCAGGCTCACTTTATCTCTCTGCAGTTCATACCCATTTGGATTCGGTCTCCATCCTGCTGAAATTATTCCAGCTTGTATAAATAATTTATTATTCATTGGGCCAAAGATTCAGGAGAAATGGGAGGTTGATTTTGCAGTTTGGGTGCTCAGGATCTTCACTTGGGATGCCTATGTCTATAAATATTGGATTATTTTTATTAAGGGCTTTATCAAGAGACAGCTCAAAAGAGAATAACCAGTCAACCCAGTGACTAGGACACGTGATTTGGTTTAAAGCCTTACTTTAAATTTAATGTAACAAGGATTTTTAAATAGGTCTTTCATCTCCCAGTGAATATCTAAGCATGAGGCAATGAGGTGTCAAGAAGTGGCAGGGGGAGTCCCTAAGTTAAGATTATATTTTGAATGAAGTGCATCCTGACAATCAACCAACCACAGTACATCCACTGCTCTAGAAGGATCACCTCAGAAGTACAGAGAGAAAATAGCCTCTCTCCAGTGTGGACACATGGAGAGAGGCTATTTCCCTAACACATTCCCCCTAACTTACTGTTAGGGGAATGTTTTACCTTCTTGCAATGGCTGCTTTTTTCCATGGCCAGCATCTTACTTTAACTCATGCTCCCATGGACACAGCTGTCCCCAGGTGCTGAAGAGGAGCTGTACTCCAGCATGTGGAGTGAGTGAGCTCACTAAGTGGTTTGGCACATAAATGACCAGCAATACCAAGGTCCTTATGAATTTAATTCATAAGGAGGGGAGGGGAGTGGGGGGAAGAGGAGGGGAGGAGATTTTTTGAGAATATTTTTCAGGGAAGATGATCATATTTGGTTTACTACAAATACTACCTTTTAGAAGGTTTTTTTTTTAATGATCAGGGACAGAAACAGATAACCACAGAAGGAGAGATGATAACATGAAGCTAATTATAAAAACTAGAAATAGCTGTTCTGTAAACATATAATTATCTTTCATTGTAATTTTTTCATCCTTTGGCATTTAGTATCTTGCATTAATTACAACTTGCATGTAATGGTTTGAGAGTCTCTCATATTGAAAAATGAAACTCTGCACCTAGCTTGATTACAACTTTATCTACGTAAGCCAACAATAAAACAAAGTCCTTCCTTTTCCACTCTTGAAATTATACTCTTTCCACCCAAGAAAATAGTTACAGCGGATTTTTTACTTCAATCTAAGGCATTTTTCTAAACTGACCATTTCATATACCTTTTGGGAGCAGGCCAAAAGTAGAGGCCTACTAGAGATATATGGTACTCCGGACAAATCAGATCTAACACTGTGATTTGCTCTTCTCCCTTCAAAGCATAGTTCCCATGAATTCCCCAGGCTCCAACTGCACAAAGTAATGCTACAGCTACTTATTAATAGGGGACAGATTTTGAAAGCATCTCTAGTGTAAATTGCAAACTGGTCCATGCCTAAACCAGTCAACTTAGTGTCCTGTGTAGCAAGGCCATAGTACAGACTAGTATATTAATTAAAAATAGGGATTTTAATGACTTTACCTAATTTTGAACAATTTAAAGTCAGAAGTATACACTTCTATATCAACTCTCAAGAGGTCATCCTTTGATGACACTGGAGACTGCAGGGCATTTGACTGTAAAGCTGGGAGGTGAGGCTGGTGCTGTTCCTATCCTCTCCACTGTGAAGCAGTCGCTTCATATTAGACATGCAGTTGATAAAATTCTCTTTTTATTGTCAGCTTAATTCATGCAAAACTCTCAATTTATGCCTGAGCTTTTCAAATAGTTCACAGTGTGCATAATGAAGTTCCTTCTGGCACTGTGGGCACATACAAGTGTGCCTGTAATTTTGCACCACTCTTTCTCTCCTGCAGCCATCCATATTGTTGCCCACTCCATCAACATCGAGCGGTATCATTCCAGCCAGTCAAAAGAAGCTGGCGAGTTACGGAATAAACTTTCTGGTCTTGGCAAGAGCCCAAATGAAAGCTACTTGAACCCAATCAGGACCTATGAAACAGTAAGATGTCACTTTTTAGGTTTCCTCATCTAAAAAGTTTTCCTCTGTGGATTCTATTGTCAGTAAAACTGTATTTCAAAGCCTTTTAACCAGAGCGAGAAGGTGCTGCCAAAGGTTAACCTCAATTTCAGCTGAAATCACTTACTCAGAGCTGCAATTTTCAGGTTACTAAGCTCAAAGAAATATCTATAGTATTTTAATTAGTTTGTCAGGAGACAGCTGGTGGGGGGAGGATAAAGAGTGTTGTGAAGCGTAGGCAATTAAATAAACCTGCAAAGAATTTAAAAAAACCCCAAAACTAAACTATCAATACATGGAACAAGCACAACTTCTTTTCAGAAAGAAAAATAACCAAACAGCGATAGCACTTCACAATATTTCTTTTGCATTTGCGATTTGTCTCTCCCCATGGTGGTGCAGCACCTTCCCGGTCTGGGGGCTGACACTGCCTCGTCAGGTGTTGAGTGTGGCTGCTCAGGGAAGAGCACCTTCAAAACCATCCAGGGGGTTGCTGCACACAGGAAGCAGTGCAGGGGGAATCTAGAGGTGCTTTGTGCTCTTCAGAGCCTAGAAGAGCTACAGGATCCTCAACCCATAAATGGTTCTTCTTGTTTTGGGGAAAAGAGTGACTGTGCCCCCTGTCCATATTCTTGGATAACCTACAACAGCATTATAAGTTCTCCCTTATAATATTCACAACATAAAAAAAAGCTGAGAATGCAGAGAATGCATGTAAACCATGCAAAGGTGAATCAGCTTTTTTTCCTGTATTCCATTATAACACACAGCACATTTATGTTAGATGTTTCCTTGTGTATCCTGTTTCACAGTTACATAGTACAGGGCTGAAATGGCCCCAGTGAGACTCCCACACATATTGTTCTGCTTGCCACACAGTCAGCATGAAATAAGGACTGCCTGAGCACCATGGATTGGTGCCCTTTTGAACAGTGATGTGCTCCACTGAAACAAAAAACCAAGTGAGAAGATGGCTAGACAACCATTGATAGGATTCAACAGTGCTTTTAAGCTGCAAAGCTTGTCCCGCTTTTTCTTACGCCCTTTCCAGTTTGGATAGCATTTGAAAACAACTTCAAATTTAAAGACAATCAAGCAAATTTGTGCAGTGTTATGAATGCGAAAGTCTTCATGTTAGCATTGACAAGGAGTCAGGTTCATCAGAACAGGACAGCAAGCCAAGGTCTCAGCTTTCCAGTCTTTCAGAACACCCAGTGACCACTTCAATTGCATGGCCATGAGGTACTCCCCAGGAGCAAAACAAAGCTCCCATCTCTGAACAGGAACTTACCATCATTCAGTAAGCTTCTTTTTTTTCCACTAAGCATTGCCATAGTGATATAATTGTAAGGAAAGCCTCTAATTAGCATTAAGATCCTACATACCCTTGAGGAAGAAGGTTAGGATATTTTGAGATTCTTTCTCAGATTTCTCACAGAAATACACTCCACAATTACCTTTCAATTTGCAGCCTAGATTTTACTCTAACCTCTAATATTTATATTTCTTTTATTGCTCACTTGTGTCTCAATAGCTAAACTCAGAATTAATAAATTATGAAGGGAAGCAAACAAAAGATTGTTTCTAACTTCAGAGAAGAAAGTTCTGAGATAACAATTCAGGCTTTCTTTTCAGTTTCATCCAACTGCCATTGAAGCAATGTACTGTCTTTGACATTTTGCCTTTTTTCATCTCAATATCCAAACTAGCCATTGTAGTGGAAATGTTCAAAATATCACCTAGATCAATCCTGTTAATATGTAATAGGATCTGAACACGCTCTTCACAGGTGCCCATTTGAAAATGTACTGTGTGCTGTCAAGTGTGAGCATTTGAAAGAATGATTTTACTGTAAAAAGTGACTGTAAAAATGGCATTGTGGAATTTTATCACCTCCAGGATTTCCATATCAAATGAGTGCACTTTACAAATACAATAGAGAGTTGTTTTTTTTCTCCTAGTGTATTAAGCTGCAGAACCAAATGAGGATCCAGAAGATGTGCTGAGCTCTTAATTCCTGTGTATCAGCACTGGGAAAACAGATATACATGCTTTGTAGGCCAAATAGGGACTTCATTTACACTCTGATGGCATACTTAGCTTGATTCTCATCTTGTGTATGAGATTTTTACTGCTGTTCTTCATGATTTACACTTTATAACTGCAATCAACATCTGACAGTTGTGTTCAAAATACATCTTCACTCTCACTTCAGTTTATTTTGGTGGGTTTAGACAGATATACCAGACCTGTGCTGACATCTGTGAGTAATGAACAAGAAGGAACATGTTCCAGCCCAGCATATTATTGTTTCTTCATTCACAAGTATAAAAATGTTAATATAAATATGTATTTTTAAAAATAAACTTAAGTATTATGCAGCGTATCCACAAATAAATGTAAGGAACAGCTAAACAAGAGGTATTTTTTAGGTAAATGAGAGTATGCCATATTTGTGTACCAGTTCTGGGCTGCTACAGCCCCACAAACTTTGAAGTAAAGTAAGCACAAAAGAGTTCCACACCTCTACAGTTGCAGGTGTCTTAGCACCTCACATTATCACTTCACAAAATTAAGTTGTTTTCTAGTCCTGTTTTCTTTATTAGACTTCTAGCTTTAATCTGCTAATTTCTCTAATAATTTTTGTTTATTTGTGACACACTTTCATTAAGTGTGCAAGTAAGTAAAATTAATCAAAGTACAAATGAGACTGTCTAATTTCTTCCTTTCAATTCCTGAAACAAGTAAGTGGCAGCAAATATTTAAATATCTGTTTGGAATAAACCCGAGAAGAAATGAAGCAGAGGGATGTCTTTCAATGTGGTTCTTTGGTAAAATGAAGGATTGCCTTGCCTCCGTGTCTTGTTCTGTTTTTTTTCATATGCTGAAGATTTTGGCTTCATGTGTAATAGCAGCAACAGTAACAATAATAAAAGTAACAGAAATAGTAATATAAATAACAGTTATAACACCAATGACTACTACTACCAATACTAATAATGTATTCTTATTCTAGAGCACAACAGGACAATTACTAACCACAATAGCTGGAATAACTGGAGTTGTGATAACGGTGGCTTTAATTCTGATCATGACTTCGTCCACTGAGCTCATCAGAAGGTCATGCTATGAGGTTTTCTGGTACACCCACCACCTCTTTGTGGTTTTCTTCACTGGTTTAATAATCCATGGTATGGGGTAAGTATTTGTGTAAACTACATGGCGTGTATGTACACAGTTCAAGATGAAACACCATCTAAATATACAATCCCATGCTATTCTACTAACAAACTGCTGGGATCTTTTGTGAGATTACAAAATAAAACCTTTCTGAAATTAAAATACATCACTTTTCTGAGGAATGAAAGCATTCTTCAGTTTATTCACCGACTTTTCTGCCATCTTACAAGCTGTACTTTATCAATGAATGAACTTTCATGCTTGGGAACTGGGGACATTGCAGATCAGGAATCAAAACTTTGTACGTTCAAATTAGTAAGGGATAGACCTTTCACTCATAGCTCTTGTAATGCATTTTGCAAGAGACCTTGTAGAAGCTTGAGAAGCTTTCAGCATGTCATCTACCCTACAGTAGGTGTTTCTGTGGCCATTCTCCTCTGCCTCCATAAATGTAAAGTGATTTTGACATTTCACTGGAAGGACCAGAACCCCAAATTTCCTCACCATACAAACATATTTTGTAGCAGTGCTAGGTACTGTACTACAAACCAGGTTTAAATGACTATAGTAACAAACAAGTCAGGCTTATGACTAGCCCAGCCAGATGACTTTTATGGACAGAGATGACTACCTGGTTGCTGTTTGTCTCCCTGTTTCTCAGCACAAAAGAAAGGTCTGTCCTCTTAGTAGAGGACTCTGGTTCTTACAGTGAGGGACAGCAGATGCATGGAACCTTCCCTGAGAAGCCCAGGGACTGATAAGTCCTCTGTCAATGCAGAGTGAGAGGAGCAAGGTGCTTCTGTTTCTAGGTCCACTGGCACCATCTGCTTCTCTCTTCTGTGCTATCCTCCACTTCCTTTTCTCATTTCTGTGTGATAGCATTCATATTAATCAACATTCACATTTTAATTCAGGGAGTGCAGTTTTGAGGTAAATCCCATGGTCTTCCTCACCCCCTGGACTTGGCTCATACCATGGTACAGTCCCTGAGCTGCATAACCCAGTGTTTGGGGTGGAACTACGCTGACAGGAACACATTGCTGCGTTCCAAGAGCTAACAAGTAATCCATTCACAGGACCAAGCCAGACCTAGTTCTAAGCCATAGGTAGCCTTCAGTCATGTCCTGTGAGGGGCCCTCAACAAAGACTGCTTTGCTCCATAGATCTTTTCCTGCTGGCTAGCTTGTGTGCATATGGCTGCAAGCTGTACAAGAGCAGTCATTTGGTGTTCACAGAATCACAGAATAGTTTGTGTTGTAAAGAACATTAATGACCATCTAGTTCCAGCCCCCCTGCCATGGGAAGGGATACTTCCCACTAGACCAGGTTGCTAAAATCCCTATCAACCTGTCCTTGTGATCATAATACACTTTTTATGTCTATTTCATAAAATATTGAGATGTCATTGCCCACCACTAAAGTATGCACTGATTCTTTGACAGTGGAACTTCCTAGCTCACACAGCCATGTGCCTGCTCTCTGGAGGTACATGGATGCTTCATCATGAGGCAGGGAACAGGCCAGCACAATGGTTTGTGGTATGTTACTTTCCCTACCTCTTTCCTTGTGGTTTGAGAGTTGCCACATCCAGTTTGGCTTTGAGTGTTCCTGAAGTTGGCCCAATTAATTAGTCCCATTTTACAAAGGCAGAGCTGCAAGCAAATGCTACAGACTTTATCCTGGCCTGATTAAAATGCCCCCACTCTCTCTCTGGCAAAACTTTTAGAATCTAACTTCAAACAACTATAATGACCCCTTTAAAACATTCATCTTTCTAAACCATCTCTGTCTAGCCAGCTGACCAGCACTACTCAGCCAGAGACTGCCCTAGATCTGGGGCAATGGCTGAAGAGCCCCATCAATACCACTGAATGAGCATTCTGCTCACTGCAGGCTGGGAGTGCGCTGCAACAGAGCTTCCTCCTGCCCCAAAACATCCCCTGCTAATGAAAAAGAGTCAAACCCCAAGGTTTCATCCCTCTTCCACTTCTTCCTCCTTCCCAGATGGCTGAACAAACCTCACTCAAAACTAACTTATTTTCGTTCTGTCTGAATAGGCAGCAGAGGCAACCTAAGTTTGGGAGGGAAAATTCAGAGAAAATATATGAAACAAACAGCGTTTCCCCATAAAAATCTTCCTTCTCTGCCCATAGTCAACACTAGGAGAAACACATTTAAACTGAACAGTCAGGATTGATATATTTTAAAAATTCCCATTATTAACATTCTCAGAAGTAAGGAAGCTACTATTTAGAATATTTAGACAGTATACATCTAATTACACTCCTCCAACTTTATTCAGAGCTTTTAAAAATACATTTAGAAAGCAATAAAAGAAAGAGAAGGTCTGTCACTATTAAATTTTATCACCTTCCTTAACACTACCAGATGCGCAAATACAGAGGAGGTCAAAGATCCTACTCCAAAGAATTTCGAAATCAAATTTTGCCACATACAATAAAATTTACATTTTCTATGCAAGGGCTCTCTCCATTTCCACTGTGCTGATGGACATCAATACTACAGCACACTTCTTGTCTTTGGTCAAAAATTCACTGCAAAACTAAAGGAAAGATAATTTGAACAGGAGAGCAGAACAGGTTTGAAATGAAATGGCCAGTTCTCAAACTTTCATTTATCTCAGAACTGGCATTTGATTACTACTGCAAAACCTAGAGAAACACAGAAAGCTTGGAAAGAAGCATATCATTGATGAACATTTTTGCTTTAAGTCAGCTTGTCCGAGGTCAGACACCCCAGAGTCTGCTGCTTCACAATGTCACCTACTGCAAAGATCACTACTGGGAATGGGAGAACGCCACTCAGTGCCCTTTGCCAGAGTTTTCTGGCAACAAACCTGTGGTAAGAGTGATGTTTGTCTTCTGCTTTTAACTTACTGTCCTTTCTTGGGAAGCCAAATGTCTTAGGGAGCAGGGGGCTGGAGCATGTGCCAGTAACTGGCACTTACTGTCATGTTTGGAGAGTAATTTCACATTCCTGCTCCAGGATCTCTCCCTGTGTATTATGATAGTGCTCCCAAGCTTCTCTGTAATCAGTACTGACACACGCAGGTGAAGAGTTTTGTATATAATTTTGGTGTCATTAACAGCAATTTTTACTTCTGGAGGATCCTTTAGTTAGAAAACACTAACTAACACTCTTTTTGAAGGGTTTGAATGTCAAAATTGTACTGTCTCTGATCTGTTGTATGCATTTTTTTTTTATAATTCAATATCACCAATATCCTTCATGTGCTCATTGCAAAAAGATAGCCTCTAAGTGAAAACATTATGAGGGTAGAGATACAGAAAATCCTGAGTTGTAAAGCTAGGGATGCAAATTAATATTATTATTTTAACTAAGAGTACTTAGATACCAAGGGAGAATAAGGTGCAGAGAAAATCATGTCCTTGCTTGGGGGCACATGCTTCATACTGTCCAGTCTTGATGTCTTAAGTTAGGTAAAAAAAGGAGAGAATTTGAAACAATGAATTATGAAAGGGAAAGGCAAAAGGCAAGAAAAATGTCCCACGGAAGGGTGATTTTGCTAGAACAAGATTGCAAATCCACAGGGGGTAATTAAGTAGCAGACTTGTAGAGTATGTCAGATGTCTTGCATACAAACAAAATCATTTAACATTTTCAGCTCAAGATTTAGGTTGCTCATATGCAAGTTTCTGTTGTTTCTTCCAAAAAGAAAAAACATACCAAAGGAAATCCTAAAGGAGAAAAATTAGCATTCAGTGTCTGGTAGCTCTTTTAATGGCTGACATAGATTTTTCTTAAACTAAACTATTGTTAGCCACTATCCAACCTGCATATTAATGAGAAAATGAATGCCTCTCTAAAAATTTCAGCTACAATGTCACCATAAAAATCAATACATGGCTACGCACCATGAATACAGACGCAAGCTTGCTTCCAACAGCATGTCTTGACATTTATTATCATAAAACTAACTGGAAAGAACTTCCACTTCTCTGTGTTAAACCTATTTTGTCACACTTTTGTGCCTACCCAGGGCCATACTTGCAAAGTCACATTACTTTAAATGAATTGTGATAATACCATACGGCATATAGATCATCTATATGAATGGTGCCTTGCTGGATGTGCAATGTGCTATGGTGTGATACCTGATAGACATCACAGACAAATAGCACAGGTTCACTCAGAAGCTAAAAAGCCATGGCGAGGTTTGTGCAGCACTGGCAGGGGCTGGTGCAGGTGGGGCAGCCTTGGAGCAGGGAGGGGACAGCATGTTGGGATTTTTGTGCATGGTTGAGACACTGTGGAGTGACCAGAGGGCAAAACACACTGCTTAGGACTCCTGGGGGAGGGCTACCACAACAGAGGCCTTCTCTCACACATGCCACACCTGCTCCCCAGCTCCATATTCCAGCAGGTAGGAAGCAGCCCAGTCTGGCTCCTACTGGTGACGATGGAGCACTTCTCTTGCACCCACGGTGTCTGGACTTTTGTCCTCACAGCCTTGCCTGAGCCATCACGGCCCTGTCTCAGTTCATTCTCATTACAGGAGGAAACACTGCTTGGGCAAGAATACTGATGCTCTGATTAGCCAGCCAGGAGCTGTGTAGCTTAGAAGCCCATGGTGGATGCCCCATTGTCCCAACCCAGCCAAGAGACATTTTGGATTGAATGCTCCATTGCACTGGAGTGATGGCACATTTAAAATCCCAGCTGAGCTCTCGCACAGGGTAGCCAGCAACCTTAGCATTCCTGTCACATGCTTTTATTTACAGGTAGCACAAATGGAAAGGAGGAAAAACAGATCTCATAATTATTGTGCCTTGATATATGCAAGTGTATTCAAGACATGAGACTACCCACTGTGCAGAGACACTTGTAGTATTTAGGGACAATGGATGTGTTGAGTTTCTGCTTTAGCTGAGAGTCTGGTGGCTTATGCTGGTTTCTTCTCATTATTAAATTGTGCTTTTTTTTTTTTTTTTTTTAAATTTAATTTTCAAGAATTAACCTTGGGAAATTGCCACTCCATCCTCTTAGCACTTTCCAGGGAAGACTCATCATTTTATGGCTTGCTTCTCATAAAGATACTTTATAACCCTCACTACCCAGCTTGTGGAGCAAAGTCAACATTTCAGCAAGTAAAGTTACTCTTTGGCAATTTTAAAAGCCACATGATTGTGGAGCATCCAGTTTGCTAGAATGAGAGGTGTAATTAAGGGAAGTTGAAACAAAACAGTATCTCTTCCCGGGGGGGGGGGGGGAAACATTCTTTTTAAATCATGAAGATCCAATAATACTTAATTATCTCAGCTACCAGTGCAAATTAGTAAAATGATCAGGTCAAATATTTGAATAGCCAAGTACCTCTGATTGTTACCATGATCACTACATAGGATTAGCAAGTACAAGCACAGCAATCATCTGCTATACTTAAAAGTATTACCAACTCAGTATCGCAGATCAAAATAACTCTTTTATTGATAAAGAGTTGACTAATGGATTAAATGGAAATATATCCCGTTTCTCTAATTGAAAATTTGGGACTTAATGTTTTCTCATACACCATCAGAAAACTCGTAGCTGACAATAATACCTACCCCTAGCTGCCTGCTTTGAAATACTTCAGACTTTAGGGGAAAAAAAAAAAAAAAAGGTAATTCTATGGGTAATATTGTATAACTGTATGTATCTATAGAGCTTCAAGTCCAATGACAACTATATGTAACAACACCTAAATAGATTAATCCTTTGCCTTTTAATAGGAAAATATTTTAAAGGATTCTTTTTGGCCAGAGTACAGATAGATATTAGCGCTTTTTTTGGACTGTGTTTGTGAAGGAGTCCCATATGTCTATTCCACAAGAAAGCCAGAACAGCTACAGCAGCAACACAAATACTCTCTTGAGAAAGACAAACCAAAAATTACAGGAAATCAAGTGATTTAATTTTAGGCTACCTGCTGATTTAAACCAGAAAAGCAAAACATTTTTGTAGACATTCAAATAAACATTGCTTTTTAATATGGAATTTTCTACAGGCTTGGAAGTGGCTTTTAAGTCCTGTGCTGTTGTACATCTGTGAAAGAATTGTTAGGTTTTGGAGATTTCGACAGGAAGTTGTCATTACTAAGGTAGGTAACAAGGCTCGCATATCTGCAAAAAAAACCCCATTATGTCAATGACTTTTTTATTGTTTTTAGGTAACTTCTCTATATCAGGAACCTCATTTTTCACTCCTAGCTTCAGCAACTTTTCAATGTTTTCAGCCAAGTATTGATTGTACATTTTGCATTTATTCCAATAGCAAATCCATAACAATATTTCATATGGGACCAAACTTGATTAATGAAGTACCAGATTTCACACCACCATAACACAAAAATCTGTTTGTGGTCTCCCCTTTTAATGAACTAAAACTGTGTTCCACTGCAGTTAATGCCAGAGACTGCCGTGACTTCAGTAGCAGCATACAGTTTTTACTTTAAAATCTGGAGGCTTTCAAGGAGATGAAGGGTTATATGATCAGTTAGCATATATAGCTTAAAGCTCCACTAATACCACTGTAACAATTTCCCCCACCTGTGTGCCAAGGGACTATTTAAATCACATCAGACTAGACTGAGGATGTTGCTACTGAAGCAGCAGAGTCCACGTGTGTCAAGCCAGAGATCAGGATCAGGTGTATCTTGTGTGAGTGGAACAGGATGTTGGGTAAGTCTTGTTGCTGATTTCACAGAGTGGCTGTGATCTGAGAATCTCAGTATATTATGTGTGACATACAAAACTGCTGCTTAACTAAGATTACCTCTCTAAAAAAAGTGTATTAGAATTGAGCTCACTGTGCTTTTTTCTTTGTAATCCCACAGAGTTAGCAGTGTTACATGAGAGTAAAACTAGGAATTAAGGAATTATTCTAATCAATTAAGAAATACTTTTGCACAGGTTATTCCAAGAAAATTGACAAACTGTTGAATTGTTACAGCCTTTCCTCTACATCTTGCACTCAGAAGTCAGGCTGTCCCACAATACATACAGTACATGCTCTCAAGCCATAGGGCCGCAACACTGCAACATGCAGGTTAGGATATCTGTGACCTAATGAAAACAAACATTTACCCTTCTGAATGGAAATAAAATTTGTCCCTTTATCATCCTTTAGGTGGTGACACATTCCTCTGGAGTCCTTGAGCTCCACATGAAGAAACATGGCTTTAAAATGGGAGCTGGCCAATATATATTTCTACAGTGCCCATCTGTCTCACAGCTGGAGTGGCACCCTTTCACCCTCACCTCAGCTCCTGAGGAGGACTACTTCAGCGTCCACATACGGCTCGTTGGGGATTGGACTGCAGCCCTTTTCAAGGCCTTTGGAGCAGAGGAAAAATCTTTGAAGGAATTGTGGATGTTACCAAGGTTTGAATAAGAGACTATATATTTTTAAATGTTATTTCTACATTTTAAAATAAATGTTAACATTTTAACTTTAATTAATTTTGCATGCGTTTTTTCTGATATATTCGATTGTAGTTCTGGATTCATAAATACAACATTATGCTAAAAACATCACAAACAAATAACCATGAACTGGTGCCAGAAGCTACCAAGAGGATGTGATGACTAATCCAAGATTTAAAGTCCATATCAATATCCTTATCTCAGTTGCTACCATCTGGATGTCTAACACCTATATCTACACCTAAAGATATCTATTTTGGAAGATGGTTGTTTAATAAATGACACTGGAAGATATCTGCTAGATTTTTGCCTCTATGCTTATGGTATCCATCACTTAATATCTAAAATTCCAGGTTTTCCCTTTCAATTACTTAGATATTTTGCGGTTTGTGAAACATCTGCCCAAACCTTACTTCTTTCTGACAGTCTCCTTTGACCTCGTCTCTATTTCCCAAACCCTGCCTCACTTTATAAAGGTTATTTGTGTTCAAATTCTGTATTTTTGACATCTTAATACAAGCAAAAAGTTGATTCTCTGTTGTTCCAAGTTAGTGGGGATCATCTGAAGTCAAAGGAGCCATCCTGACTTACTCCAGCCAATGACCTGGCTCTATACAGAATGGATTCAAACCATGTAGATCTACTTCTGCACTGCTTGCAGGAATAGGGGAGATTTTCAGCAAACAAGAGCCCAGCACAGGATCATTTAAATTCTAGCGGAGTATGTAGGACCTGGGACTGCAGGGACTGATTTCCCCCTGGAAAACTCATAGACACCACTGAGCTGCAGAGGTTTATTGCAGATTCAGCGCAGACAGGAAAATCTGGTCCAGTCCTTGCATTGTATCAGTTAATAAGAATTAAAAATGAAATCAATGCCTTTGTTAAAAGTCAAATGGAATGAGAAGTCTGCCATTTCAGCAGAACTGGAGAAAAAAATTGTTCAAAGTGATTGACAGCAAGTGTAAAATATGAGGAAGAGAAAAAAAGTTATCAAATGTTTCTTGCCACAATACAGGGTTGAAATTAACAATACTGTCATATATAAACACTCCTCTTTTTAATCTCATTAGGGTGCCTAATTTCATCCTTCAGTTTCTTTCTTGCAATATACTAAAAGACTATTTCCACAGTTAATAGCCATAAAGCAAAAGACTGGTCTTTTTCACAGTTTCACTATCTAAAGTTATACACCAAATTGGTGACTGTATTAAAAAATAACATATAGCAGACACTGTGCAGAAGACATAGCAGCTGAATAATAAGGTAGGGTTAAGAATAAAGTGTGTGTTTTTAATTATTTAAAGAGGATTAAAATGAAATGTTCATACATATATATAAGTAGCAAAGATAGTTGTGATTTCTGACAAATTTGGGAACTAAAACCATAGAATAGACTATTAATGTGAAAATAATTAAATTCCATGTTATATCTCTTCAGGATTTTGGCTGACTTAATTGCTGGTTTAATACATTGCTCCAAAATCTGACTGTTTTTACAGACAGGAGGTACTACACAATCATCATGGTGATCAGCAAATGTTTAAATTCTAAAAATGATCACAGATTATCTGTTAATGATACTTTTTCAAAACTAAATATTTCTCCTGCCTTCCCCATAAATCTAACTTTTTTTCTAATGAAATGGATAGGAAGAATATGGACAGTCCACAGTGAGAAAGTCCATAGCTCTATTTTCTACATGTCTTTGGCAAATGTAAATGCAGCAATTTTTTGTCACTTTGTTTACTATCTTCCTATCTTCATCAGTACTATCTAGATCGAATGAATGAGTTTCATAGCTCAGTTTCTCTTTCTCCTCTTTCTCCTCCCTGCTTCTCTGAGGGTTTGTATTTGGCTAAGCTGCATAGCTATGGCTGAGTAAAGCATTCAAACCAATGATGGGATCTCTGTCATCTGAAGATTTAGGAGCAGACTGACAAGACAAATCTCTTCAAGGGATGATTCAGAAATAATTGAACCTGTCTTATAGCACAGCAACAGACTAGAGAATCCTTGAAATTTCTTCCAGATCAATTTTTTCTCAATCTTCTGACAACAATGAGAATTGCTTCCAGGCTCACACTGAACTACATAGAAGGCTTATCTAAAAGCTGTTCTTGGGCACTACAGGTATATACCATAAATTAACCTTATTTTACAGGAATTTTTGAATGCCCAAAACATACTGGGCTGGGCAATAATCTAAATAATTGTACATATTAAAAAAAAATTCTTGATGTCTAGGGTCAGATTTCCAGCAATTATGCCAGAGTAGCTGTTTTGTTTGCTACTGCACTTGCAGGGCATTTTGAATATTGAAATAAAATGGCAAATACTTTTTAGGGCTTTTTAAAAAGTAACAATAAAATTTGAGATACATTGTATCCCTATATTTGTGTGTAGCATTGGTTGGGCATCCCCCTTTCTTATCCTGTTAAAACACTTCATTTTAATTATGTGTGCCTATTTGTTTGTACTGTTTAAGGATAAATTTTAAGGATGATTCATGCTGTAAAGAGTATAAAGTAATAGAAAATCTAAAGGCAAGAAAAAAAACCTTTTTTTTTTTCCCGAAGCACTTGGTGTTGGTGAAACCATCTTCCAAGCCTGTATGTTGTTTAAAGACAGGGCTGGAAGAGCACTCCAAAGTACTCTGTGTATTTACATTTCATGTTGCTAAAGAAATGAATCTTATTATTCAATAATATTTTTCATCTCTAATTTTGACCAAAATTAATTTCTTGGCATCAGCAACATTGATTACAGGAGGCAGTAATATCAACAAGCATGTCTGCTTACGCATTTTTGCCTTTACATCAGATACTGAGTACAGTATTATGCCAAAAATGTATTCCTGAAATACTGCTTTTTCAGAAAGAGCTGAGAAAATAGTAGTTCTCTTGCATACTATGACCTTTTTCTTGCCTTCTCTTTTATTACTTTAACTCAAATACAGAACTTCTAAAAATGATTAATATAATCTGTTCTTCTTTACTTTGATATGTACAATATAGCGAATAAAGCTCTAAAACAGGATGCTTTTCAGTAATTCATAATTAAATATGCAAATTCCACAGCTAAATTTGGACATGCAATTATATGACTAATCACATTTCAGAAAGCCAGAAAATTGCAATTGCATGCTTAAATAGGTGGCCAGGCCCCAAATCCACATGGGTGCTCTTGTTCTCTCATTTCAGAAAAGACAGTTGCTTTGCTATTAAATGGCACTCACTGAAAATTAAATGTATTTGTACAGGCAATTTATGTGCCATCTTAGACATGTATTTTCTCTTTTATTTTAACAGAAATTAAGTTTTGACAATGTGTAGCCCAACAAATGTTAACCTTTCTGTCACTTTATGTTTTGTTGACTCCCAACTAAAAGTTTTTTTGCTGTAGACTGGCTGTGGATGGACCATATGGATCTGCAACCACAGACATCTTCCACTACCGAGTCAGTGTGTGCATTGCAGCAGGAATTGGAGTCACACCATTTGCCTCTATTTTAAAATCCATTTGGTACAAATGCTGCAACCCTAACACAGTACTGGCACTGCAGAAGGTAGGTAGAAAAGTTTATTGCTTCATTAAAAAGTTCCACAAGTGAGCCTACTTATTCAGGGGAGAGAAGAAATTCAAAGTTAGGGGCTCACTTGAGTGCTTTAATTTGCTCTGAGAAGCAGACTCTCCCTTTCTAGTTGCCTTAGGAACTGTTGTGGGGTAAAGTCTCCTGAACTCACTTTCATTCCCCAAAGAAGAAGGTAGTGCAAGCTGCAATGTTTTTTAGTAAAAGTTGAAGGATTAGATTTTCAATAGTAACTGGAGATAATAGTGGAATGCCTTTCACAGCTAGATAGATAATTAGGGAGCTACAAGAGAAACTTATCCTCTTTCTTATCAAAAATAAACCCTGCAGTGTCATCTCAATCAGAAGTGAAGGGCAGCACTTTCTCACCGTCCAGGTGCAAATTTCACAAGGGTCCTTCATGTCCTCGTCCAGAAGGCTGCATTCAGTAACCATTTGCTGCTTTTCTCACATTGCAAAGTTGGGATATTAACCAGCACAGAGGGAATATAAAAGGCATTTAAGCTCCGGATGAGATGCATATATCAAGATGCATATTACTCCCTCAAACTACTTTAATTATTTTGCTGAAAAAATATGTTCAGATCTATAAGGTAAAGATGGCACAAAATTAATTAACATACTCATAATTTTCTAACCTGTTATAGACCTTCTGCTAATAGCATGTGAGGCAGCACTGGGGAGTATAGGTGACGAAGAGATAATAGGTGAAGTGGGGTGAGGGCAAGAAGGTAGCATAGAAAAAAATCAGCATTAAACATCCTCTTCCATATCCATCACGGCAAGTGGTAGTTTGTGGACCCTACAGCTTTTAGGCCATTTTCCAGTGTAAAAGCTGAATCAGGAACTGTTCAACATTTCATATTTAAGGACAAACATGGAAATTGTATTGGAAGGGACAGACCTCTGAAAGGGTCAATACATATGGAGCTGATTGCAGGACCAAGGGGCTGATCTTTTTAAATGAAAGAGTGTTAAAACTGGCATCTTAATGACGAGCTGCCACTGAAAAAGCATCTGGGATTTTAGTAACTGAGGAGTTGAGGACAGGTTCAAATTGCCAGGGGGGATCTTTGAGGCAGAAAAAGCACTGAGAAGGGAGGGAAATAAAAATGGAAATAGATGCTATGTGAAAAAAGAAGTGCATTTGCAAACACTATGATTGTACCAGGATGATCTTTTTCACTGGAAGGAGAGCTACGCATATGCATACAAACTTTATATATGTAGATTATGTATATTCTACATGTATACAAGTAAAAGTTGTTATTATTGTCATTGCTGCTATCTTAAGGAAAAAAGAACAGGATTTAACTGTGCATCAATGGAATACTTGAGGGTGTTCATTCATAGGGAGAATTAGGGAGAATTTCAGCTAAGTGTGCCTGCAAAGATAAATGCATCATGCAATCTGATATGGGTTTTCTGCTATAGAGTTCAGTTTTATTGAGTTCCTGTGACATACAAAATTATCAAGATTTCTCCTTGTTTTTTCTTTATATCTTGGCTTCCTTATTGGTGCAGTGGGAATTGTGATGTTTATTTTTCACAGGTGTTATGAGGTTAAATTTCATCAGTGCTTGTAAAATATTTTGAAAGCGTGGATGAAAGGTCATGGGGAAGTTCACAGCATTACTTAAAAAAATTTAGCAGTCATCTCAGTGAGAGAGATTAATCTCAGGGTAGCTCAATTTTTTTTTTTTTTTCCATTGGTTAAAAGCTTCCACTTGTGGTATAATTACAAATAATTTAATCTTCCTCAAAGTATTCAGCACTCTCTTTTTGCCATGATGAGTACCATAGAAATGTCTATTAAGGAAATAAATAAGAGGTTTTTCTTTTTTTTTAACAACTTCATTTTGATTTGAGTACAGCTATCATTATGGTTATTGAACTAATATTTCTTAGTGTTGCCCACATATGGTTGAGATATAAATACTCATCATTTCCAAATTTCTGCAGCTGTATAATTTAAAAAAACCCAACAAATCAAAAGGAGTACACATTTATCTAATTGACTCTTCACAATTAAATAGCCTTAGAGCCCTCATTTCCCCATCATTTTTTGCATGTACTACCAGTCATGGCTGGAAAGTTTCTACTGGCTTTAGTTATGCATAATATGATTTTTTTTTTTCACATTAGTGCTCTCATTTTTTCAGATCAATTGCTACTGAAATTGATAAAATTGTACTGATCCATCAGATCCTAGTGTTAGCAAACATCCACTTTCTCTTCCCTACAAAAGACATAAGAAAGGTCCTACTGAGTAATGCCAAATATCCATCTAGCCCCATATCCTGTCTCCAATGGTGACTCTTCATTAACAACTAGAGAAAAGTATACAGACCAGAAAAATCAGATGGTGGATGGTTTTTATAGGACACTTCCTCACCATTGAGCAACTCATAGCTCAGTAGCGCCTTGATAAAAGAGCTTTACTTGTGTCTTTAATATCCCTTTGTGGTTTTTTCTTCCATTAAGTAGTCTAATTGTTTTTTGAATCCATGTAGACCTTAGACAACCATAGCATGTTGTGGCAGTAAGTTCAGCTACATACTGAGAGAACACAATCAGCCTCTTCCATTTGCTTTGGGACTAGCTTCCACACCTGAGGTAAATATCTGCCCCAGTCTCTAGTCCTTCTGCACAAAAACCTTGTCTTGAAGACCTAAAAAGCTCTTTGTTCTGTCAAATGCAACCATCTTTCTGACATTTTTGATAACAGTTTAAATATTTTGTTTCAGATTTAGGAATATAATTTTGAACCTTCTTATGCATTCATGGGAAAGGCTGTTTGCTGCCACCATAAGTCAGTGTCTCCTGTAGGCTGCCAAACCCCCACCTCCTGCATGACCTCTGATTTTTTTTTTTTATTGGGTTTTTGTTTGTTTGTTTGTTTGTTTGTTTTTGTATGCTACAGCCAACAGAGCATAAAGGACTGGATGCTTGCTGGGAGGTGCCCACCTGCTGGTGTAAGAGGCTTTTGTAGGGGTATTCATGCCGAGGAGAGAGCAGCAAGAGTCAGGGATGACGGGAGTCCTCCTTGGACATCCTTTTAGTGAAAAGCTGGCTTTTCCCAGAGCTCCAACTCTGCCCTCAGGGAACAAGGAGAAACGGATGCTCATCAACAGATAATTATTAATGACTTTCCTCATGATGGAAACTGATTTACAAAGAATGTTCTTTTACCTTACAGGAAAGAGGTAACACAGCTCTTGCTCTTGTCCATTGTAAAAAATACAGGACCTGGGAAACTGAAGGATAAATATCCATTAATTGCAAGGAAGCAGAGCATTACAGAAATAAGCAGCTATTCAAACCCCTGCTTTGATCTGATTAATAGCAATACTGCATCTAACTCAATTTGCAAAAAGAGCACTTGGAAAATTTAAGACAGTTTACTTGGGCAAGCCATCAAGCTGATAAATGCAATTGATGGCAGTAGGGTGGGTGGAGACTAATGAAACATAAATCTAAACCAGATTTTTAAGGGTCCTAAATAATTGCAGTCAGTTAATAGTATGAGGCTTACAAGAAAAAAACAGGATTCAGAATAATCTTGAATGATATAAATACACTGGAGCTACTTTATTCTACTGTTTTAATAAGGATTATTTTTTTGGTGCATTTATTGTATTTTAATTATATATGTAATATGTTGTGCTATGCTATGGGCAGCCAGTGTAAAGAAAGGAAGACTTTTTTGTAAACACCATTTATTTTAACATATTAGACGAGAAATCCTCTTTGATCTAAGGGAAACTAATTCCTTTTACCCATAGGCCATCCTTCTTCACTATCTCTTTTCTTTCTAAGATTATAATCACAGCCAAAAATACTTCTAATAATGACAGTCTTTCTTCATCCCCAAATGCCTGCCACCTCTTAACATGAAAATCAGAGGCAGTGCAATGGGTGCCATGGGATGAGCTTAAGGAATTTTTGCAGCTTCAGAAAGCTGCATCCTTTCCTTAGAGGAGTGTGCCAGAGGTGACTTGTTCCAACCAGTTGGACTGGCTGTTCCTGTGACAGCCAGGCCTGCAAACAGCTAAAAGCAGTCCTTTAATATGTTCTGGAAATCAGTTCCCCAGTATGAAGACTGTATTGTCTCAAGTCATTGGCTAGCTTTTCTTCCTCCTTCCTTGAATGTGCTTATCTCCCAGTCCTGCCCACAAGCTCCCAGTTGCTACCCAATGAACAATTCTTTACTCATTTAGAAATACATATCTTCTCTCCACAACATGTACTAAATATACTTTTCATTAAATGAACTGCTGAAAAGACTTGAGAAATAAGATGATCAAGTAGAGTCTGGGGGAAGAAATTTCTCACTACAAATCAACAGCGATGGTGTGATACAGACTGACAGCACTCAGTGGGCTGATTTTCGAGGTGCTGAGTATATAGAACAAGTGGGGACTTTAGGACTCAGGCACAAAAAAGCTACATACAGGTTAAGGCTATAAAACCTTACTTAGTTTTGGTAATTTAAAATAATGCTGTTGTTGGCCACAAATATGAAATTCTATAACATCAGTGGGCTTGCTTTTTCCTTATAATCTATGCCAGGGTAAATCGGAAGCAACCCCCCTTCATAATGCAATGAGGTCATATTTAAGGCAAAATATTGAAACAGAAGGGGAAAAAGCAAACAAGATGGTTAGTACTGAAGTTCTATTCAGACAGTTTTATTCCTGGGCTGTAAAAATACCCTACTTAACCCTGAATGCCTTATCTCTCTTTCTGGGATCATACATCATTTATATTTCTTACATAAACCACAGATGGTCTCTTACAGTACACTCAGATCTAGGAAACATCTCAAATTACTGTTAGTGTCTTTCACCAAATCTCCACTAAAGCATGGCATTACCACATTTTTCTCCCACCACCTTACCAGAAGTCTGACAACCTAATATATTATATATCTGGGAAATCTCTTTATAGCTTCCAGGTTTCTTTCTCTGGTTTTTCATTTCAGAAGTGTCCAATGCGCATTTTTACCTCATTGATCCTGTGCAAAAGGGTTAATGATTGCCTTGGGAATGTACCTTCCAGATCACCTTTGATATTGAAGTACAATAAAAAACAGAGGGGCTGGTGAGCAGAGAAGGAGATGAGTTGGAGAAAGTGAAAGGATTTTGTAACAAAATAAGAATCCCAGTCGTAATAAAATAAGTATCAATCATTTAGTTTTTATAAACTTATACATTGTCCATCCTGCTGTTCCTTTCTCATCTGAAATGGTGTATTTTTAGACTTCCTCCACATTTTTTAATTTCTTCTTTGGAAAAATTATGAAAATACACAGCCTGCAGAGGCCCATTCGAGGTTTGGCACCATCTGGTCAAAATAATGGTAGAATGTGAGGCAAGAGATACAGAATTTGAGTAATAGGAATTGCAATCAGATTTATCTTATAATTGTGCTTCAGATTCAGGGTAGTGCCTGGGCAGACAGCCTGGGAATTTCAGACGTTCGTCCTCTGGGTAGTACAGGAACTCACAGATGAGTTGTCTCCACATCTGTATTGGCTTCATACCAGGCACTGAGCTGAAATCAGTCCAGGGGATGGACTGGTCCCAGTCCTCTACACAGCACAGCATTGCTAGAGGAGATTTCCAACTGGGAAATCAAGATGTGCTGAAGACTCCCTAAGGAAATTCCTGATGGGCCTAGGAGTGACTGAGTTTCAGTGCATTGGTAAGATCTTGACAAGGGAATTTCATCAGTCCTGAGGCAATTCCTGTTGCAAAATTTATTCACTTGTACACAGACAAGACATTTGCAAATGGTCATCAGAAACCATTCCTGCAGAAGTGGTAATACAGGACAGACTTCTAGAAACAGCTAATTAGTCAGAAGATGCTTTATATGCAGTTAAAACAATAGATCATGCACATCCAGGAGTGGTCACAATGATCCCTGGGCCAGCTGGCTATGAAAACTGGGCAGAAAAAGGTTCTTGTGGACTCCCACTGTTCCAGCTGAAGATGCCAGAGGCAGGACTCTTGCAATAGAGACCCATCATCATATGGACAATGACTAACAGTGTTGTTTGAAAGATTTTTTTTCCTATGCAAGTACTATCTTACGCCGAGATATTAATAAATCAGCTTCTTTCTTTAAAAAAAACAAAAACAAACCCAAAAAAACTAAACTCTGCTATTTTTTTGTTTTACTACAATAGAGTAGGAAAAATAAGCCTTAGGAATGATTAAAGGATGCCTCTCAGTGGCAGTGATCCCAGGAACATTTGGTTTGCATAGACACAATTATAGGATGACTTGATCCCATTCTCTAATTTCTACCCATAAAACAAAACTTTGATAAGAGGCTCTCCAACCCAATAGACAACAAACAAAAAAGATGAAAAGTGAAACTAGAGAAATCAGGATGAGAGAAATTGTGTTAGTTTTTATAGAGAGGACGGTTTCAAACAATAGAAAACTGATCATTTTAGCCCTTTGGCAATTTTAAATTTAGTTTCAGGTTTCTCTAGGAACCAGGTGCTCCAAATTAAACATGAAATGCATTTTTAAAAAAGAAATAGGGACTATTTCTCACCTATTTTATACAGGGCATATGACTTGAAGAACATAGGTACCTCTTGGCAAAATCAAGAGTTAACCTATAGCATAAGGTCTAGAGAAACAAGGAATTCCTTGCTTTGATGCTGAATACAACTGAAATTAAATAAATACAAAATTTCAAATAATAATCAAATTATTTTCAAGAAATGAAGGGCTAGGTATTACAAGTCAAAGCAGACATGCGCTGGTAAGGATATATCGGAAGCTTGTCCACTTCCTACTTTCACTAGCACATTAATATATTCACTCATTGTTTAAGATGACAATCAAAATTTTAAAATGTCAAAATGATGTTCAATTATGTTTACTATAAATTTAATGTGAAGAAGAATCACACACTATATAGTTAATGAGTTGAGCCAGTGATTACAAAGTTTTATGGAAAGTTGGCTTCTTATTAAATCTCTTTATTTTATCTGACAGGTTTATTTTTACTGGATTTGTCGAGACCCATCAGCATTTGAGTGGTTTGCTGATCTTCTGTTCCATTTGGAAACAAAAATGGGTGAAAAATGGAAAAATGATTTTCTAAGCTATCATATATTTCTTACTGGCTGGGATGAAAGTCAGGTAATAATGAAACTGTTACAAGTCAGAGTTAATGTACCTTGCTTTTCCAGTATGGGAACATACGGAACAGGAACAGCTGAATAAATGATGGATGAAGCAGAGAGACAAAGATCCTAAGATGTCTGTTTACATCTCACATTTAGGAAAACAGGAATGGAGAAATCAAGTCAGTGATTCCTCCAATCCTACATCTTGTCTTGGGCAAAGATGGTTAACAGGTGTCTCACAGAAAAGTACATGGAGCTTTCAGGAGCTCATCAAGGGATATTTTATCTATGTCTTAGGAACAGTCTTTCATTCGATTCTACCATTTTTGTGCTGAAATGTGGAGGACTGTCTAAACAATGTAGGTTTCATTTAGTCTTATTATTTAATGCAACTTCTGTTGTAGAAATTCACGCATATATACATATAAATACATACATATATATATATATCCAGTGCATTTTTGAAAAGTACTCCACTTGGAAAATTTTGGCAATGTACTCCATTGAAAAGACATTTTCTCTGATTGACTTTAAATTTGCCATCTCATATTTTCATTGGATCATACCACCTCAGGCACTTAATTCTTAGACTGGGTCAATATTATTCAACCTCTTTAGTCTTTACCTAAACACAAATGTGTTAATTTTCTCTCCCTCTCTCTCTTCCTTTTTTAATGGATCACTCAGATCATGCAGTGGTAAGTCAGGTACCTGCCAGAAAACCTCTAAAAGGGAAATCTTTGCTCTACTGTTTTATTTCCTGCTGTCTCTATTGAATGAAGGACTGCTTAGTAGAGATGAAAAAACTACAGATTTCATAGAGCTTTTCCTTTTCTGCCTCTGCTGATATAAAACCCCCATTGTTTCCTTCTGCTTTCCTTAGAGTTTCTCTCAAGTAATGAGGTATGTGCATAAAGTGTACTCAGAAAAATCTACTCCCATTGTGAAGTAGATGCCAGCTATAGAAACTACTGCTCTGCATTAGCAATATCACAGGGTATTACCTAAATCCTGCTGTTAAAGAAGCTATCGGGGAACCTAAAAAACACAAAGGTGCCCTTATCTTTCAACTATCACCTCACTTCCCTCATGGGCAAACATCAGGCCAAAAGTCAGGTAGGGTAACCATTGTTCTTGCTGGGGTGTCTGTCTCTCTTCACTTGTGTGCCCTGCACTTTTCTGGAGGGACTTCTTCCTCCCTTTAGCCTCATACTCTCTCCTGATTCCTGTCAGAGGAATGTTCTTCAGTGGTTATTTCTCCCACTCTGATCTGGACATTATGCTGAGTAAAATCATCTTCAGATACATGCAAAGCTCCCTAGTCTTACAGGACTTATTTTTAGTAAATTCCTGTCCATCACTCCTCGAATTTGCTAAAATCCTCATCACCCCCTCATCACTCTGCACCAATATTTGAGTGATATTTTACTTCTCCCCTAGCAAAAAATAAAGCAACATTCTCAGCATTCTCTCTATCTCACTATATAGATGACCAGTAGTCAAGTGAAGTTGAACTCAAGGAGGATGGGCATTTTAAACCTTCTAGCACACCCTCCTTTACTGACACGTGTCTACTCCTCAGACATGTTTGTTCAACGCTTTGAGCTCTTTGCAGGTTCCATGCTGGGAACAGATGGTTAAGCACATAAGGCACATGATCTGCCCCTGCTTGGACAAACTCTCTGCAGTACCCCCGAGGAGACTCCTAGGCACCCTTAGCACTGTGAACTATTGCAAAGGCTAATATCAAAAATCCTGGGAAACTTTCACTTAATGAGAACAGCCCATCTTCTCAATGGGACAACTGTGCTGCAAACAATTCAAAAATTCTGTGATTTTCTACCTCCCACTCCTACTAAACACTTCAAGTTCTTTCTTAGACTGTTCCAAATCTTTCATGACAATGGCTCAAACTAACAAGAAGAAGCTTTTAGAAACACAACCTCTTGTAACAACTTTGCTTGACAAGAATAATTGTTTTGGTAAGGAATATGTAAGACTCATTAGAAGAAGAAATATATAGTATTCCTAGGGAATGGATCTAAATTTTAGCAACCACTTCTGCAAAAGATGATTATGATACTTAGTTCATGCTAGGGCCTGGACTAAATGAAAAGTCCATTTTAAAACTTACTTTCCTCTGTTAATTTCTTGATAGTGACAGCAATGATGGTAGTCTCTAGTGGAAACAAGCATATTACTCCTACACAAGAGCAGTACAGTTAGGAGGGACAGTGGTTTTTGTTTTTAAATGCACCTGGGAAGTACTCAGATAGCATGGTAATAGATGTAGTATAGGAGCTGAAGGACGGTAAGTGCCCATGAAAATAAGGACTTTTTTCCTGGCACTTGGGAACTGAGAAGCTCACTTGGTTCAATGCTTCACCTGAGGTGATCCACTTTCTGCACCTGCCTCTACCTAATTCAAAATTAGAGAAAATTCAAAACATTGAGGGTTTTACACAGAGTCGCAGAATAGTAAGGGATGGAAGAGACCTCTAGAGATCCTCCAGTCCAACCTCCCCTCCCCTCCCCTCCCCTCCCCTCCCCTCCCCTCCCCTCCCCTCCCCTCCCCTCCCCTCCCCTCCCCTCCCCTCCCCTCCCCTCCCCTCCCCTCCCCTCCCCTCCCCTCCCCTCCCCTCCCCTTCCCTCCCCCCATTTTATAATTGCAGAGTGTCCTTTCCTTCATTCCATATTTCCCAGAATTGTTACTTTTGTCTCTTACTTGGAGTATATGGTTTTGACACTAAAATTATTATCTTGTAAATTTGCCTTTAGGCTACTCACATAGCCCTACATTGTGATGACAAGATGGATGTAATTACTGGTTTGAGACAGAAAACCTGTTATGGAAGGCCAAACTGGGACAATGAGTTCAAGCAACTAGCTGAAAACCATCCTAGGTAAGGCAGGCTGGTTTCTAACCTTGTTAAGTAACTCTTCTCTCAGCATAAACAGTGGGAGGAGGGGGAGAGAAAACCTTTCTAAATGACCCTTTTAAAACAATTTCTTCTTTTTTGCTGTGTGGAAAGAAGATTTATGCTTAATGAAGATTTTAATGAAGAAATCTCGGAAAGAGAATGCCAATAAAATCTAATTTTTGGACAAGAAAATCTAATATTTAGAAGTATTTCAATATCCTGGCCTTTGTCCAGATATAATTGAAACACACAATCCAATTACTGTTCTGCACAAAGGACAAAGTAGCATTAATTTCCCTTGAAGATGGTTATTAAAGAGATAAACTGTGATTTTTTTTCTTATGATGTCAAGGATATGTTTGTTCCCCTAACATATTTGGCCGCTCTTGCAAGACTATGCTGTTCTGTTATTAGTTCATCTCTGCTGGCAAAGACAGTTCATTTGAACTTGGTGGATTTGCTAGTGGTCTGAGAAAAGCTTCTTTGTTCCTGAAAGCCTTTGAAGCAAGAATTTGAAATATTTTGTGTTCAGCAGTAGAAAATTCTAGAATCTTTGTGACTTTGTAATTTCCAAACATTTACCTGCTAATGCAAAATACAGGCTCGCACTTGGAAGAGAGAAATACAAAAAGAAAAGGGAAAAAACTTCTTTTAAAAGATGAAAAAGACCCAAGAAAAAGCCGAAAGGGAGGAGATCAAAGAGAATACAGTAAGCTACAAGAATACCATAAAATTGCAAAAATAACAGTAATAGAGAATTCACTTGATGGAGGTCAAAATAAATACAATCAGGAAATATGGAAGATTAAAAGCATAAAAAGGCCAAGATAGAAAATGTGACTTTTGAAAGACTTTTCATAGGATTCTACTATATAAACAAACCTTTTAAAGTTATAGTTGAAACATTACTTTTTAATATTAGTTACTTCCACAACTGTAAGTACAGATGAGATAAAAATGTTTTTTTGCTGCTCAAGGGGGATATGGGCATTAGCTTTCTCTACTGGATCTTGCAGTAGTTCCTTAGAAAGCCAGTCCTAAACTGACAGAAAAATCTCCACCTTTTTTGTGAGTCTAGATGCCCATGTTTATGGTCAATGTTGAACCTTTTAAAGAAAACCTTGCACGAAATAAGGATTCCTTATGAGAAAAGAAGATTTATCTTGCTCTGAATTATAGAAGATCCAAGAGTCAAACGGAAGAGTTTCTACTTTGTGATGAAACAATCAGCTTTTAGGATCTGACTAAATTTTGGGTCCCTGTGCCCAGGTTGACAGAGTTCCCCCTGGATGCAAAAATGTCTTTTAGCAGATTAGCAGGAATACATCACTTCAGGTTAACCCTGGTGCAATTGAGCACCAAAGCAATTTGGGCATGACTTCTGGGGGCTATGGCATGGGCACCAAAATCATATCCACAGCCCCTCCTTTACACGAGCAAACCTTTTTAAACTCATTCTATCACTTGTCACTTCCTCTGCATTTCTGCAGATTGAGCTTTCCCCAGCAGCACAGCAGATGTGTGAATCTATGCATACATGTTTTAAAACAATGTGTAGTGTACTTGGAGGCAAACCCTTTAGTTTTTAGCAGGCAACCAGGTTTACCAGCTCCTTACGTGCTCGTGCACATATGAACACAATTTTTTTTGCAGTTGTCATGTTCTTATTTTATAAGAAGCAACTTTACGAAAGTTTTTATTAAATCAGCCATTTTAAAATTGGCTGTGGACAGAAAAGTGTTAGACTAGGTGGTGTTAGACTAGGTGGCACGGGGGCAGGGTGAGGGAGGACAGGAGAAGAAAACTCAGAAGTAAATCAGCATTTTGTATAATTTTTCAGGAAAAAATTTACTCAGCTGGAGAAAAAGCACTTCAAATTTTCAGCGCAAGCAGTATGTTTGCCTCTCTGATTGAAAAAGCTATAAAGATCAAAACCAAAGAGTTACCATTTAAAACATTTTGTGTTCTCTAATATAGCAATCTAATAAATAATGTAATGAGACATAATAAACATGAAAGTATTAAAATTATTATACGCTAATATAGCAACACAAATTATACAGTACATAACACAAAGTATACAGTAACACAAGATTTTTCAAATGTATTTCTCAAAAAGCCATTTGAAAAGATGCAAAGCTGAAGGCAGCCAAAAAGCATAGTGTATCCATTTCTCATGTTTGCTACTGCTACTCTCATGTTTGTTGTTATTGTGATTCCAGCAACAGCATTGGTGTATTCTTCTGTGGACCCAAGGCGCTCTCTAAGATCCTGCAGAAGACATGCCACTCATACTCATCAGTTGATCCAAGAGGAGTTCAGTTTCACTACAACAAAGAAAGTTTCTAGGCTGTACTTCTTAACTGTATAATAGATATTGCCAGGCTGTGTATTTTTTTTCCATCTTCTCCCATCCTCTACTCTATCTGCAACATTCAGGCCAGATATTAAGAATTAGAAATTGAAATAGGTGTATTGACTTCAGTAAAAAAATGCCATCCTATGCCAGCTAAAGATTTGGACCCCTTCCTTAGCCTTTTCATTGCTTACTTAATGATGCCATGAATCCCTCTACACCTGTGTGAAAACACACAAACTATAACCTTTGAAGAAAAAGGCATGAGTAAAATGGACATTTAGAACTGTACTTTGCTGTTGTGTATGATTGCAGGCAATACATCCCTGCTGTTTAAATCATGCCCATTGAAAGCATTTCCTTCCTGGTTTTCTGGTTTTATACTCCCACTGCATACACATCTATATCTGCATTACCTTTTGTGCCAAAGCAATACTATTTCTATACACTCTGTCAAATTCCAAAGGAGCAAATTTGTTTTGCCCTACCAAGCTATGCACATTTAAATTTGACATTTCCATGGGAATGGTGTCTGTGTATTCCATGGACTAATATGTACTTAGGTTTAATAGGCTAAGGGAATTCTGGAAATGTTTTGCACTCAGCAAATAGATCTCGTGAGACATGCAACTGAAACTGTGGAAAAAAGTTTCTTGATAGAATGACTGAGGTGGGAGGCACCCCTAGCTTCTACTCCAAACCTCTCGCTCAGAGCTGATTCTGTGAAGAGAGGACTGACATTAGCATTCTTCCATCCCTCAGGAGCCTTCTCCCCATCACCATGACTATGCAAAAATAAAGAATGGCAAGTTTGCTCAGCACTTGTGGATGCATCCCATCAGTTTCCATGGACTTGCTTAAAATATCCCTAACTGATCTTCCTTGGTGGAGGGTAAGCAAGAATTTTTTCAGATCTTCCCCTTTGCCTGAGAAGCCAGGGATCTCTGAATGTCAGCCTTATCTGTAAAGACTGAAGCAAAACAGGAATTGAGTACCTCTACCTTTCTCCATGGCCTTGGGCGCCAAGTTCCCCACCCCATCCAGCAGCAAAACAACGTATTTCTGGCCTTCCTTTTGCTACTGATGCATGCACAGCAGCTCTTCTCATCCTTAACTTCCCTCACCAGATTTAACTCCCAATGGGCTTTGGCTTTCCTGACCCCATCCCTGCACACTCATTGTCTCTATATTCCCTGCATCATCTGTCCTTGCTTCCACGTCATGTATGCCTCCTTTGTGCTTCGGCTCTGTCAGAAGGGAGTTGTTGAACCATATGGATCTCCTACCATCTTTGGCTTAGTCCACGCAAGAGGGATCATATTTGAACCTGTGGAAGGTGATTCTTGAAAATCCTCCAGTTCCCCTGGGGACCCCTCTTCTCTCTAGGACCACACTGCATGGGAAACTTCTAGACATTGAATTCCTCCTGTGTCCCCTCCATGCCATGTGTCTTAGTGTACATGCACTTCAGAAAGGCACCTAGTCATGTGAATTTTCCAAAAGAGGCGTTAGATCTTTCCCCACCCTGCTTTTGTGTACGCGCTTTCTAGTTTGTGTGGATACCTAGGAGTAGACCCCTTCTGCCCTGTTTTTGGTTGTGACATCTCTCCTGTTCACATCAACCTGTATACTTTATTTGGTGCTCCAGTCCACCACCTCCTCATTAGACTGTTGGTCATCCACTCCCTCCCCCTCACACAACATTCCCATAAGCTAAAAAAGGGAGAAAAAATATTTCCCTCTATCCCAGCACAGAGAGTAAAAACGCTCCATATTTGAGCTGGACTGAGGTGTAACAGTTCACTAGCATCACAAAATGTATTTATCCAGCCACATGATAAAAAAGGGCTATAGGAAATATCTTGCATATGTCAGCATTTGAATGACAAACAGAGGACAACATTATGTATGTATCCTTACACACAGACAAAAAATACCTACTAGATGGGACATAACTGTATAGACAAAAGAAACAGAACAATAACAATTATACCGGAGAAGACTCCAATATTGCTTTAAATGTCTTCTACTAGGGGCTATGGCATGTGTGAACTGAAATTTTTTTACAATATACAGTTCTATTATTGTTGAGTTTAGGGCAACGCATCTTTGTTTTAAAATAGTTGAAGTTTTTTTAAATGCCTGCCTATGTGAAATGATTAATGCAGAGCATAGTGTGCTAGCAGTAGAGTGAGGAGAGAATTAGAGCCTCTGCCAGTTCACCTAGAGGCATTTATCTTTTATTTTTTCCCCTGGTGCCCATGCTGAGCCTCAGGGTAAGCTGACACATTTTCTAATATAAATTAAGTTGTTTTTTTTTTTTATGTGCGTTGAAAATCTTGAAGGAAATGAGAAATGTGTGTAGGCACCAATACCAGCTGCCATTGCATGAAAGAAAGAGGTGACAATTTCCTGCAGATTCTGAATGATTGTCTTAATGGGGTTGGATCGGAGGTAACAAGCACAAAGATATTGTGCTGCCAGAAAAACAGGATCTGTTCTCCCCCCAGCCTCATGCAACAAGATGTAACATTTAGCTTCTGGCTCAACATGGCATCTCTTCACTGCTTTGATTTATTCCCACTTTTGCAAATCACTGTGGTATGCTACAGGAGATGCATTTAGAGCCCTTGTTATAGTTCATTGAGTAGCACTGCTGTTATCACCACCAGAGGAGAATTTCTCTTGCATCAAGACTGAGTGACCTAGAATAAAGGAAAAATAATAATAATAAAAAAAAAAAGTGGGGAGGTTTCTTGGATGAGGATGAAACTGCATTTAGGGTGAATGAAAATCCCTTTATTGCAAATACAATTTGAATCAAAATGGGAACTAGGAAAATTTGGCTTCCTGCCTTGTTTTGAATAACACTGAGCACACAGCAGCTATGATAATGTGAGTGCATATGTAACGACTCTATTATTATGTTTATATATGGAAACATCATTCACTGTCAGGGAAAATGAAAGATATCTTCATGGATTTGTCCATTCAGCTGCTTCAGCAGGAAGTGTTCAGCACTGTGTAGGAAAATATTATTAAATAAAATATAGTCATAACAGCACAGACTCACCACATCCTGTGACAGAAAACTAATCATAGACAAGGATCATAAATATACAGATTAATTACTTTGGCTCTTACAATAAAAAGAGTGCTATTATAATGATTGAAGTTTTGTTATGATAATTTAAGTTTATTCACTAGGAATTGTAAATTGAAATACATGAGCTTATATGTTCTGGCTTTCCCCCCTCTCCCCCTTCTCCTAAGTTGTCTGTAGTAGAAATTATTTTAGTAAATTTTTTTCCTTAGTTTACACCAAAATATTGAAGATAAACTGTCACTCTTAACAGAAAATCCATCATAGGATGTCTGTGCCATATCAACACTATTACAAGGGCTCTCCTGCTTCTTTCTTGCTTTTAGGTGTAATCAAACGGCTTAGTGGAAATACTGTTAACTGCAAAAAAGTGACAAACTTTTCAAAGGTTTAAGTGCTTCTGATTAGCAGGAGATTTTATAAGAACTGCCTCAAAGGCAGCTTAGTTGCCTTCAGAAAAATAATAAACTAAATTATATGGTAGATTTATAATCTCAACTGGTTAACAATTTCAGAGATTTTTATTTCTTGATGGAAAATTACCTTAATTTCTTCAGGAACAGAGAAAAGAAAAAGAAAAAAGTGACAATGCTTCCACCCAGCTTGCTCTATAAATACAAAAAGCTTAAATGAAACATGCATAGTCAACCAAGTAGTGAGGAATGCAAACCTTTGAGGTCAAAGCAGTATAGCAGGTGATGGGCTGGAAGGTGCAATAGTTCATTGAGTCTCATGACACTTCTCAGGCAATCACGTACCACGTGTGGAGCCACCTTGGTGACCACTTACAAGGTGGAAGACATCTTATCAAGGACTGGCTGTCCTAACTCTTCCTAGTGCTGCAACCTGGCTGAGTTGAGGTTTTCCCACCTCAGTCAGATCCTCTGCTCTGCAGCAGCAACTCTGACTCCTCCTGTGTGATCACTTAATTGTCTGAGAAACTCTGCATTTCTGCAGAATAAAACTGGGTGTCCATTTCATTAAAGCTGCGGCCACATTTTTTTAAGAATGTCTACTTACGTGTTACTAAATATGTTCAAATGAGAGTGGGCTGATGATTTGCATTTTAAAACTCTAACCAGTTAGGTCTATTTAACAGGAGTCTACTTGTCCTTCAACAAGTCATATCTTGCAGTAAAAAAATCTCAATTACACAATGGGTCTCAATATATGGGAACAAATGTGTTAGTTGACATGGAAACACACTTTTTCTCAAAAGCAAGAAAGGACAAAAAAAGCTTAAACTCTTTAAAAGATATATTAGCATCCTTTCAGAATACACAGAAGGAAACAAAAGTTGTATAGTATAACGAACCACTCTAACCAGCATATTTTTTCAAAGGCTATCAGCTTCAAATATTTGCATCTATTATCTCTAAACAATAATGACTTCTAACAAGGTAAGACATTTGTATTCATTGAGGATAAAAGCCCTTAGCCTGCCAATACTTACACATGTGCTTTACTAACTTCAAACAACCTTTTTACTATCCTAGAGGACTAAATACGGTTTCCTTTGAAGCTCATGCACAGAGGACTGATGTCAGGCTCAAGGCTGGGTCCTGAAGGCTGATCTCTATTATTCAGCTATTGCACTACCAGACTGTCTTGATACTTGTCTAGAGACCAATTCTCTGGTACAGTAATTCCGAATATGAAAGATAACTTACAATCACACTCGCCTTAAGGTACACAGATAAGATTGCAGTTACACACTCTAATAAAAGGCCCGGTTTTTAATGGTCTTGCAGCTTTTATTAAGAAAAAAAAATTTAAAAAAAAAAAAAAAATTTAAAAAGTGGGCTTTGGGGGAGGTTTTATCTTCTTTTATTTTGGCCAAATGATGAATATGGAGATCTGAACATTTGAACATTTTATTCTGTGGATATATGCAAATAAGGAGGAGAGGGGCCAAATAAGAGCCTGTCCTCTGAAACAGAATTCAGTATACTGCTGACCATTCCCCACTATCACTGCCTTAAACGCTGAACCTCCTGTGCCCTTGCTTGAGAGAGGTTCTTTGCACAAAAACAATGTTTTTCCTCCTGCTGCTGTCTAAGGCAGCAAAGACCTTCACAGAAATCATTACTGTCAAAAAACTGAACTAAATGGGACTTTGTGAGTAAAGATAAGGATGTGTGCCCAAGCTAACACACAGTAGTTGCAGTGTGGATGCACACAGGAAATTTGCAGATACCTATCCGCTTTAGATATCACATATACAATTCCCTCTTACTGTAACAAGCACAATGAATTTGTTCTCATGTTTCTAGGAATTCATCAAGGTTCAAAAAAGGAAAGATGAATTCAAAAGGTCTCAGGCACATAGTCAACCTGCAACATATCACAGTCATTAGTTATATATTACCATACAATTACATTACATTTAGATAAAAAATTTTAAGATTGAAGAATGCCCACTATTTTATCATTAATATTAGTAAAATATCCATGTAATTTTCTGGGTTGTTGTGCTGCTAAGAAAATTCAGTAGGCTATGCAGAATGCATACCAATGCAGAGTTAGCCATTTAAGATCACCCTTTTTTAGATTCTTTACCACACTGGCAAGAGGAAGATAGTTAAGAGGCACAGTTGGACAACTTTGAATGTAATATCAAAGGACAAAACAAACAAATGTATTCTGTGATACTGGTCAACACTGAAGTTACTTCAAATACAAATCATGGGGAGAACAGATAGATTTGACTGAACTGGACTTTGTGTAATACAAACATTCCCAAATACAATTTCTCTGACAGGAATGTACATCAACTATTTTCTTATGTGTTTGGCATTACAAACATGTTTCTATAATAAGAAACATCCAGCATAATAACAAATTCTGGCCAACCAACATCTATCTAAGCAAGCCCATCATCCTTCTATAACATTGTGCTTTTATAAAGGAGCCTGAAAATTCTTTAAAAATGGTCTGCTTCTGGGAGGTGCTGAACTGAAAGTGCTTTTAGCAAAACTAAAAGAAATTGTATCTGCTCAGCATTCTGCAGAATCAAAACTTTAGAACCCAGACAACAAAATTAACAAGAGCTATTGCCAAAATGAGGACAGTAGAATTTGGGTGTTAGTCAAGACTGGTGCTGAATGATATATGGCAAATATTTAACACTGAACTTCAAAGAAAAAAAAATAATTCTAAACTGTCTGACTTGTTTATAATGAAATAGCTGTTGCTTTGCTACATGCTATACATGTAGAAAATACCATAGTCTTATTGCTATACATATAGATAGCCATGAATAAAGTCTAAGTGGAGTTCAAAATGCTTTGAATGTATGTTTTCTCACAATGCCACTATCAGGTGTAAAATTTATTACTTCCAGTTTTAGTTGAGGAACTGAATCACAGAAATGCTAAGTGGTTTGCCTCAAATTCTCAAAAGAGTGTCAGGACAAGGATTAAACAGGTTTTCAGGACAAAGACGATACCTTGAACTGTTACAGAAATCTCCCTCTCTTATAGACTGTAGTACATATATTTGACATGACCCTTAAAAATATATGTGAGCTTTCTGAATGAACACAAAACTGACTTGAATTATTTTCTGTTCTATTGTTAATGAGCAGCATGGTTTGAAAGGCAAATATTTTGATTCTCAGGACCAGTATGATTCATACTTGCATTCCTAGATAGCATTCCTAGAATTCTATCTATGATATAAAGCATGCACATGAAAAGTGGATCCTCTAGCAGACAATGAATGATTTCTGTGTTAAAATAGGAGATCTAAAGCAAGCAAAAATATTTAACAGAAAATAAACAAAGTTTGGGGTTATTACTAAGAAATATTATTGAGTATCTGAACAAGATTTTGATGCTGGACAGAAGCCAGATCCTACTCTGAGTGAAGAATACAGGAAAATACTTGTTGTGTCCCATAACAGGATCCAGTTAAATATCAGACAGCACAGCATAGCACTGTCAGGAGAGCCAAGATTTCATTTTCAGGTAGGGCAGATCAGAAAATTTTCAAGTATTAAACCTCCTCTTTAAACAAGTATTGTCAAGAATATACAATTAAAATAATAAAGCTAAATAAATAAGCAACATTCTGCTTCAGCTTCCTGGGATGCACTCATCATCTTTATGACCATTTTGAGGCAACACCACATTTGCTTGCTTTCTGATTTCTGCCACCTTGTCTGTACTTCAAGAATTTTCTAGGATTGCAAAGGGGTACCTGGTTATTTCTTATGTCTATCCTCTATTAATAGTTTAAGATATGAAGTCTTTCTCGTGATTCTTTATCACTTCACTTATTGGCTCCACAGTCACCCAGACTAGTGTATTTGGTTATTGCCCAACTTAAAGGTATATTAAAGCTGTGTCTTCAATAATGCTATTTACAAGAGTAAATTCATTCCTTCTCATTCTATTCTCTAGTATTTTCTATTATATTAATGCTAGGGAAGGAAGGATTTAGAACACTTCACCCTATGCAGAATCAATCAGAAAACATTTATGAACATTTGCAGTTGTGATAGGAAGAACAGAATAGAAGGCGTTTTATTATGCTGACTTTATCCTATTTCTTTTGATTGGTGTTAAGTAGTGTACAAAGATACAAGGCTCATCAGAGGAAAGGGATCTATGCATTTTCAAAATTCACTTTTAATAAAATAAATTTGAAGGAGGCAAATTTCATTCATACCTTACATACTAAGTTCAACTCCACTAGCTGCCACAAAGCACTGGAGCATACTGTTAAGATGAAGAATGAAAACTATTCTAAAAGACAATATCAATCTAGAAATTCAGCTATTGAAAGCCTGCTTCATGAACTGAAGCTAATTAATGCTTGCATGTAGGGTTGAACCCAAACCATCAGAATTATAGCAGCTCCACAGCTGAATTACTTTTTTAGTATGCTGCCACTTAAAATTCCACCCAGTCACTTTAAAAGGATGGAGCACATGATTAAACTGTGATATGGGAAGGGAAAAAATGAACAATTAAAGTAAAAATCTCCCTAAACCCAGAGATTACCTAAGATATTTAAATACAGAATGACTTTATATTGCAAAAGCACTTTCTGCAAAAAACATCCTTTAATTATCTTCACAGAGTTACTCCTTGTACATACATCCCTGTTTAGAAGATGTAGAAAAGGTATTTTTGTCAGCTCAGTCTTACATTGCTGCTTCAGTAAAGGACTTGAATATCCAAGTATCGAAGTCCAACAACGGCACCGACAGTGTGAACTATGCCATTTTTTAGCAGAATGATTTTTGTGTGCAGATGACTGGAAGAATATAAATATGAAAACATTAAAATAAAAACCAAGGCTAGACTAGGCAGACCCCTTCACCTTAGGA